ACGGTCATAACTCAGTCAAATTTTGTCCTACAAAAATTTAAAAAAAGCAAATTGTTCAGTAAGAAATAACCTACAATTTCTTATTCTATCATTTTTTTAATAACTTTGTTAGTTTTTGAAATATTTTGAAAAAAGGCGATTTTTTAAAAACTTGAAAAATTTTATTCAAAAGTAAATAAAATATTTTTTTTAATTTAGGCTTCTAAAATCGTTCAAATTCCCAGAATCTACTGTTAATACATAAATAAAGTAAATTGCAGAAAAAATACGTTTAATTTTTGTTTCCTCGAAAAACCTTTAATTTTTCCGCTACAGGACATTGAACGTTTCGATTATAGCTATCTTCGAAATTGACTTCAACTTCTGGGAGTCTTAACTCGGGTTCTATACCACCTACAAATATAAAAAAGCAATCTCTTTGCTATTTAATTACCTTCATTTTTGCTTATGAACATTTTTTTGATAAAACTTGTAGTTTTTGAGATATTCGCGAAAAATGGCTCAAAAACGTGCATTTTTTGGGCTAAAAACGAATATATGTTTAGGCGCAAATAACTCAAAAAGTATTGACTGTACAAACAAATCTTATATAACGTTTTTTGCTTAGAATTTGTCCCTCTACCGAGGTTATTTTAAAAAAAAAATTTCACCCTCCAGAAGGGGTGGCATCCACCTCTAGGGTAAAAGCACACATCGGCACTATATAACCTTTGTTTCATGGGCGACAGCTCAAATTTCACGTCAATCCATTTCATCCGAAAAAATTGGTAGCCAAAATGCTTCAGAGGTTTATTTCGGACAAAAGCAGAAGAATGGACTTTCACTATAAAAAATCATGTTGAATACATTTTCCCTATATTTCAATAACACTTAAAATAAAACTACCCATTTATATATATTTTTTCAATACTTTGTACCTAAATCTTCCCGCCCTGCCTGGTATGGAAGTCAAGAACCGACACTGAATCCGTATTATGTTTTTCACTAATAAAACGAAAACTTCTCGGCTGCTTTCCACTTGACCACAGGTTGTGAAAACGTGTAGGTAATATTATCTTTATACTGAAGTTGCATTGTTATTTGGTGCCTTTTAAACTTCTCATTTGCAAAGATTTTTTTTGCTATTCTTAGAACTTAGAACATAGTTGACTCTGCAGTTTAGTTATAAATTATAAGTTTTCAGCGGAATATGTTTTCAAATTAAATATAAATGTAGATATTCTGCGAAGGAAAATAATTGTGATTTTTTACAAATTGCATATTTAAAATTTAGTTCGAGAATAATTTTAGGATAAAAGTGCTCCACACTTTTCCGGTCCCTGATGGTCCTCTGCACGAACTGTAGAATACAAACAAAATAACTCACATGTAACGAATTAGTCACTTTTAATTAGCAATCGTGAATGAGGTAATCAATAATTCGGTATGGTTGCTTATTACAGATGTATTTGGGAGTCTAGTTTAAATTAAGGTCACAAAATGAAGATTTGTGAGCATTAATCTTTTTTATGTTTTATTTTTAATTTATATTTTTGACTAAAATATTCGACTTTCAATTTCGTATTGGGTGGAAGGTGGAATGTTTGTAATCTTAAAAGGATTTAGATTAGATTGATTAATTATTAATATAATAAATGTGTCACGGGTATTAATAAATTACACTGGAAAATGTACGATCAATTTTAACATTTAAAACTTATAAAAAAAATATAATTTAAGATCGAAATATGCCAATTTAATGTCACATTAGCTTATTAATGTGGGAAATTATCATAAATCAAATACTAGTGATTGTGATTAATAATGAATCTTAGTTTAACTTAAATATGGGTTATTACACGAACCGGTACCAGTGGTGTAGAAATAATTTGCATTTTAAATATATTTCATTAGTATTAATTATGGACACTTACAATAAGAGACTTTTAGACGATTTCCTTTTGTGAAGGTCTACTTTTCATTCAAAAATATTGTTTTACTTTTGTATCTGGGAAAATTAAAAAACAAAAAATTTTTTGAAAAATCGAATTCGGGTATACAGGGTGTTTCTAAAATATGGTTCCAAACTTCTGCTGCGTTTATAACTCATTAAAATAAGCCAAAAAGTTCCTATTAACATGTGCCCTAAAACGCACCCTTAGGAAGTTATATGCCCTTAAAAAGGGGCTCAAACAAAACTGTTTTTTTTTTTCAAATAAAATGCAGTTATGACGGATCCGATCATTTAATAAATAATTTAGGACATAAACTAAGACTATTTAAATTTAGAGTTACACTTAGTAATTAAAGAACTAATTACTACTGCAGACAATAGCTAAATGTGAAATAGAAAATAATGGGATTAAAATTTTCAAACTCAATTTACTCGAAAACCATTGGAAATATCGATTTGGACAAAGATAATATTTTTTACGTAAAATTGTTACGATTTTATAAATCTGTAGAGAATACTGAGCCCTTTTAAGGGCATATAACTTCCTAAGGGTGCGTTTCAGGGCACATGTTAATAGGAACTTTTTGGCTTAATGAGTTATAAACGCAGCAGAAGTTTGGAACCCTATTTTAGAAACACCCTGTATAACTACTTTATATATTATAATGAAGAAATTTTGAAAGGCATATCTCTAGTAGCAAATGAATTATAGCTAAAAATATATGCCATAATAATTTATTTTAAGATAATTCTTCCAAATGAAAATTTCAAGGTACGCCCCTGCCGCGGTAAATTGTTACAGTAGTTCTGACAACAGAACTTTATGAGCTTATTATTTTCCTGGAATTCTATCTCAACAAATATTGTACGGACTGTAGCTGTGAGGAAAGCTTTGAGGATCAGATAAAAAATGTTATCAAGGTTGTCAGGAGAATCTTTAAAAACCACAAAAATTAATGGTCAAATAATTTCTTTTGAAACTTTATTAAAAAGAACGCTTTAAATAAAAAAAAAAAACAATCTTACAAAATTTGCACCAGGAAAGAAGGGAAAGAAAAGCAAATCCTCATGATCAATATTCTTTAGGTTTTCATAATTTATGGAAATACCTTAAAATTCTGTATTGCCATAAAAATATAAGTAAGTATGTAGTTATCTGGAAGTAACGAATGATTATATTTTATTTATGAAATGGGAATGAAATTAATTTAGCTTAAACCATGTTTTTTTTCCTATACAGTGATTGAACACGAAACTAATATTGACACAAATAAATTAAAAAAACGTTACTGTTTAATAAAATATACACTTTATCACATAACTATATACTCTACATCAAACAATATGATAGCAAAATTAATGTTATAATTTATTTAAAACCACCTTTGCTACTTCCCAAAGAATTGTGTCAGCTGGATATTATCCCACTCTGGTAATTCACGTCCCCGTAACTTCGAAATTAGTGGTTGCAGAATAGCTTTTAAGTTCTACAAAGGATTTGTACAATACAAACACAGAGAAATTACGAAATCAAGATTAATTTTAATATGTATTGGAAAAAATTTTCAGTTTCAATTCTTATTTTATATTATGTCACAGCCACATGAAATCACCATAACAAAACAAAAAGTCAAGCAATAAAAAACAAATTATCAGGTCTTTTAAGTTTTTTTTTGTTTTTCATTAATGATTTTTCTACCTGGAATCTAATAACACATCATTATATCCTCCTTTATAAATATTAAAGATACAAGAAAAAAAGTAATTAATAAAAAATCAAATAACAGACTAATTAAAATAAACTAAAATATATCGGGAACTGTTTTCTTAAATTATATTAAAATATATAAAATTTAAAAATGAATTGATCTTTATGGAAACACTAGATGTGTTCAATATTATAGATATCATTTTTTTTATACAGTACTTACGTTTATTGAAAATTATTATTATAAGTTGAGATTAATTGGGTACTTATATTCGATTTATCCAGTGGGATACTCAGACTTGGACTGATGGAGAGTTAATAGAAAACTCACTGATTATATTGTTCACTGTTGAATCTACAGTGCTTTCGAAAAGTAACAAATAAATTCATTATTTTTTAAATTGAGAAGTTTTCGAAAAAATCCCCTGGCACGTCGATTTTGTTTTTAAAAAAGGCACTTTTTCACATATGACCCATATTTGTGACGTCATCGTTGTTCGAGATATGACGTCATCGACAATTTTTTTAAATAGCAACCCCCAATTTTGACCATGCCATTTGAAAGAGCGTGTCCTTCTACATACACAGATCATGAAAAATTATGTATGGTGTTACATAACAAAAATTTCAAGAAAATAATGTTTGAAGATTTTAAAATTTAATATTCACAATACTGAAAATGATAATGATTATGTAAAAATCGAAAACTTCTCAATTTAAAAAATAATGAATTTATTCATTACTTTTCGAAAGCACTGTATAATAGTAAGTACTAAGTAGTAAGGCTCTTGCGAGTTAACAATTTATATTTTATTTTACAGTGAGCAATTTTATTTTACAGAGCAAGTAGAGTTTCTATTATGGCAACAAAAACATAGTCATACTGATAATATTTACATATGTAAGAGGTATAACGAGAGATTAATGTTACTGACTTTTCCCATGAGGAGTTAAGATTTTCAAGCTTTTAATACTTAAAATATTATTATTTATACTGTTGCCTCTGCAAGGAAGAAAACATATTTCAGTCACTTGTTATGGGTGAATTCTCATCCCAAAACCTGTCCTTGTGTACGCCACTGCCTTTATATGAAAATTATAATTAAATCTTAGAAATGATTTGGAATTTGCTTTTTATTATTGATCCTGAGAAAAAATATTAAAGTTACTTATGTATATTATAGCTTATTAGTTTCTGAATCTTTTATCTTTAATAAGATTTCGAATACCTACTTAAGTTTATCCCATTTCCTCAATTTGTTCTGTAATATTTCTCATTGGAAATTTGTCCTTTTTTCAATTTGTAAATTATTATTATGAATTAAGAGTGGGGGAAAATAAAATAGTATTATCTTCTAAAACAGTATTTATTTTTAATTAATAAAAGAAAATATAAATTATATGTACATGCTGCTCTGCAAATGACAGAAAAAGGTAGAAGGTGATAAGATCAAAATAATAAGATGAATTTTTCCTGTGAACCTATCATTTTTTGTTTATGAGATAAAGGGCCTCAAAGATAATTTTTTATAATCAAATTTTAGCCACCCTTATTTCCAAAAAACAAAGTGTGCACTGAAACTTAATAGAGGTAAGTTTTTGAGGGTGTTAAATATGTTAGTGTTGCATTAGTTTTTTACCATCCACTAGAGAAGTCGTTAGCTGCTATCTCTTCCAGTGACAAAACCTTTTTGAAGTAAAGTTTTTTGTGTATGCCATACAGTTTAATTTTACACAAAAAATTCACTTGTTTTTGAAAAATAAAACAACTGACTGTCCCAAAATCAGTCATCTTGTGTTCCTTAATGTACAGGATGTCTGGAAATGTGGGTTATATTTCAAGAATAGCTTCATTGAATGGAAATAGATTAATGTGAATCAAATTGCTTTACTATACATATCTTTTAAAAATTTTTTTATTTCATTTCCATGAAGGTCCATAACTGTTTAAGGAAGCAAAATTACCGAGGTAACTTGTAGGTATCTAAAAAACAAAAGATGGTGGTCCATATCCAAAAACAGTCTTAGCTTTTGATGTTCCATCACCCCTAATTTTTTTTTTATTAATTTTCGGACCAACCTGTATATTTAAATACAAATTAACAATACTTAAAGCTTTAGCCTCCTAATTTCATCCCCTTTAAAATCCGTCCTGAAAATAGAAATTATGTGTAAGAATACAAGTTTCATATGTGCAACAATTAACACACATTTGCAGATTTTGTCTTGCCATTAAAAAATAAAATAGAGCCATTCATGCATGAAAAGTTTGAGCAAAGGTCAGGAATAAAAAATGTTAGGAACCACTTTGGATAAATGTAGCTGTAAATGATTGATTAATTAAAAACTTACCTCAAAGCCAAAACACCTTTCAACTCTGTTGGAGTTAGTCTCCACGTTAGTGCACTATCATGATTACCCCAGTAGTCATGAATCTCACTTAACTGTTCCAAATTAAGCACGGTTGCAATTTGGGTCAATCTAGCGAATTTATCTCTTACTGACCAAGAAGTCGTAGTTGTTATGTAACCTGCTAACGTTCTGACTTCCTTATCTAGCACAAGTCCTCCCAACTAAAAAATCATTGTTACATAACTTTGACATGTCTTAAATTTACAGGAAACTTTACCCTATTAAAAGTACTTTTCAATATAACTTTCTCAAATCTCTGAGTTACTTCCGTTGTTAGTACTTGGGTGAAGCAATCATAATTAGAAGATGTCAAAATGTCTTTAAATGAGGAAAGTAGAGTTTCTAGGTTCATAATAAGACTTTGGACGAACGATTCACCTGCTTCATATACATTTAATTCATCCTGTAATTATAATACATGACAAAATATAAAATATTAATTAATTTCTTTGGCACATATATTTTTTACCTCTGTAAGATGATGGTTCATATTTAAGAAAGCGTCGACCCAAGGGTTAACTCTTGGTTTTATAGCAGTTGATCTTAACTGTTGTATGCCGTAGTCAATTATGGCTTTCAGATTAGTAGTAACGGAAGATAAACCTGAGAGGCAACTTTCCAGTTTGCCTCTTTCATTACTATTCATGTTTGGTAAAGCTTGTTCTATCTCCTTTAGGACATGCTCACATAGGGCATCAACGTATTCAGTACTACTATCTGCATTATTTAGAGCAACCTAAAATTATAATAAGAATTGATGTATTTTTCTGTTTGTTTGAGACCTATGAAAGTACGCTTAAATATTTATTATAAACCAACTCTTACACTAAAGGAATCAGTCAAGGGTTACTTTAAAGCATAGCCAAAAATTTCACACCGAAAAAAGAAAACAAGTAAAAGAATTAAATAAGGAAAATAAAAAATAAAAAGAAACAAAAAAATTAAAAAATTAAGGAAAATTTGTGTATTACTAAATCAATGTTTTGTTTATTTAACCTAATTAAGATTATAATTTTAACCTACAATATTCATACTTAAAAATGTTGCATCCTGAAGAACTTTATGTTATATAAACAAAACATTGGCTTAGTAACAGTAAGGTTTATTAGTCCTGATTCTGAAGAACTTCACTAATCACTGTTGCAAGAATAAATTCCATTATCTTTTTTTTTGATAATTTTTTAAATTTATTTTTACAAGTAGTGAAAACAGAAAGTATTCTCAAAAGAAAGAAGTTTAAACAACAAACAATTGATGGGTAGCAAACACTAACATCAATACTTATATAAAAAAATATTTCAAACACAAGTTGTAAGTCAGTACAAGTATAAAGTTTTCAGTCTACAATATTTAGATTTTTTTTTAATGAAACGATAAATTTAACACAGAAATATGGAAAATTTCATTTCCGGTCAATTTTATTAAAGTATGTTAGGGTCTGTTTCTTATAGTTTGAGAGATATTCAGTTTTTCATATTTAAAAAATGGATGCGAAATACTAGCGGAATTTTCAAAACCAAAATGGTTAAATGGTGAAAAATTGCAAATTGCAAATAAAATTATTGTCACAGCAGCCACAGTTTTAATAAAAATATACATTAAATCAGCACAAGGCATAAAAATGCATACCAGTAATAAAACAATAAAAAGAAAAGATGTAAAATTAATAGAAAAATACTTAAAAGATCAACAATAAATGTCCAGTCTACCATTTTGTTAAACATAAAATAGAATCATAAATCACCATAAAAGTTAGATTGATAGATTGTAGAATCTAGTTGATCAATTAAAAGGCTTCATTCTATCCGCTTATGTGAACAATGTTGCTTTAAAACAATGGCATTACTGTTTTGGAAGAATGGAGAATATTGGAAACAGTATAGTTGCAACTATTATTTTCTAATGAAGAAACAGCAACAAAAAAAATATTAAAAAATCCTCACAAGCTATAAGAAATGTATTCCAACACACTTCAATAAAATCAAAAGGGAAATTAAATTTTATATATCTGTCTGCCAAATTTAATAAAGGGTTCCATTTAAAAAAATAAATGTCCATGATTGAAGATATTGAAATTCTGAGATCCGTAATAACTATTTTTCTATTTGAAATGTATTACGTAATGTATTTTCATATTTTCATGCTTGACTGAATAGTGAAAACTGTGTCGTTGAGGATGAAGCCAATAAAAAATACAACAAATAACCCCGAAATGGTACAACTTTGAACCCAATATTTGCTTATCGTAGTAGTATAATCATAGTTACATTTTAGGTAGAGCCCACAAAAATAGAATAACCAAAAATAAGAAACTTATTTAGTGCAACTTATTTTTAAACAATTTTTTATATTGCTGATATACTGATATACAGAACCATAGAAGAATCCGTTTTATATGGGTCACCTTGTATAAAATTATAGAAGAAAATTAATCATTCTCCTATATATATTAAACTTACAATAAAAGCAGTTCTAGATTGTTCAGTATCTCCAGATTGGAGTCTCCCTTGTTGTATGGAAGTTTGAAGCACGTTGTAGGCTTGAGTAAGGTCCAAATAACCAGAGGGATACCCTTGCCTCAGCCTACTTTTCAAAATTTCACAGAAATCACTCTCTAATACCCTACAGGCGTTATTTATATTTACGCATATACCATCTAAAGATCCAGTGGATATTGACCTCCTAAAAAATATATTCTAGGAGATTATTTTTGAAATTATTCGTAATAAAACAACGGAAGTATTTTTTTATAAAACAAACATTAAATTTTTGTCGATATCAAAACTTATGACTTATGTACGCACCTTGTGCACTTTCTAATAATAAAGAAAGTGTCATCAACCATACTAGAGGTTTGTTGCGACTGATCTAAAGTATCCATAGCTACAGCTTTAGCCACCGATTCTTCCATAAAGTATTGTTCTAATCTAAGGTAATGAGACAGCAGTTCATGTTTAGTTTGACTCAAGTCACTATTTTTAATTAGCTGCTCTAGCAATTTCAAAGTTTTTTCTTTTTCATTTGCATTAGGTATCCCCACCTCCACATCAGCCTAAAAAAATACCAAATTACAGAAAATCTCAAGTACCAAATATTTGTTGAATTTATTTTCTATATAGGTTGTTTTCTAAATGGTATACAATTTTATATGAATTATCTGATTGATGACTTGAGGAATAAATGAACATGGTTAATTAATTTAATAAGAGATTGTATTACCAAATATTCACTTAAACTTTTTTAAATGAAAAACACTTTAAATTTTTAATTATTTGACTCGTTATTATAGACTTATGAAATATTATATCACAGAGTGATCTTAAGAAAGTGTACTATTCAAAGAAAAAATATAAGTGATGGGTAGCAACTGATGATGTGATCAGTCACCTTAATTTCTAATTAAATAATAAATAATTTGAAAAATTATATTTCAACTGAAATGGTGTTTTACTACGATTACAATATTTATATCATCAAAGATAGATGCATCAGTGTTTTTAATTTTTTTTATTTCATAAGTAGCTTTTGACTTTGTTAATTTTCAAAACAGAAAAATAAATGAAAGTAAATTATTGACACGTAAAATATTGATTTTAAAAGAATTACCAATATTGCCAAGAAAATTGGTCATTTTAAATATTTATCGACAATTTTTTAATGTTATTTTTAGTAAATGACTACCGCCACCAGAAAATATATAATCCATATAAAAGTTATAAGAGGCACACCATAATAAAAAAAATTGTAAATAAAACTCACCATAATTTTTCTCTGAATAAATTTAAAGTACAATTCACTGCGGAAATGCATGAGTGTTATCTCTCCGATAAGTATATCCAGATCCTTGGGATCAATTTTTTCTAATTTACTAAAACTGGAACTTGAACTCATTCTTGAAAGATCATTGATAGTTTGCATCTTTTTATTAACTTGCCTTGCCTTTGCCCACTCAAGCAGCACTCTTTTCACCTGCACATCACATTCTTTTTGTAATATCGTTACAGCAGAAATCAATCTTCCCGGTCCATAATAAGTTTCGATGAGAGGTTGATGTGTGTCTATTACTCGAGCCAAGCCTTCAAATAGTAATGTTAGGGTGTCTGCGTATATCACACCATGTCTTTTGTCAGAAAGTGGAGCACTTATTGCTGATTTTAAATTTTTATCTGCCACCACAGATATTTTGGTTCTCAAGTACGTACAAAATTCTTTAATTCCTTCTTCATGCATTCCTAAGAGAGGAAATATTTTGAAGAACCTTTCAATTGATACTAAGTCCTCGGTATTAACAGCTTCCGTAAATTTATGTTCAACGATAGCTCTAAGTTGGCTAGTGGCATCTTGCAAAGTTCTTACTGAGCGCAACATGTTAGATATAGTATCCATGTCATTTGCTGTTCTTTTTAGTAATGTCTGATCCATTGACAAAAATCTGTGAACATGTGCTGCACCTTTTTCATAATTCGAATCCATTATAGCTTCCTGTACACCTTGTGAACAAATCTCTAAATCGATTAAATCACTAACACGATGTTGACATTCAGTTACACGACTCTAAAATATATTTGAAAATCAGTTAATGCTAATATATGACAAGTGTTTGAAATACCCGTGCTACATCCAAAGATCTTATTTTACCACTAATTTTTTCAGAAGATTCGGATATATCATTTACTGTATTTACAAGATCTTGGGCTTCATGTTTTATAACTTTTAACGTAGGAACTAGTTTCGCTAGACCTTTAATTTTATCTTCTATGAAAGTTTTTTGGCTAAATAAATTATTTAAGTCTTGAACCAGCGTTTCCTGCAAAGTATTATCAATTTATTATATATTTCAGAAGTACCTTGTTTTTACCTCTTCCAGTTTTAACTTTTCTAGTTCTAATTGACAACTCTTCTGCATTTCTGCATAACTGTTTGATTTGGAATCCATTTGTATGCAAGTGTATTAATAAGGTGCACACATCAAATTAAATCAAATCAAAACATGTTATAAAAAAGACTCGAACTAAAGCAGACCATAACCTTACTAATTTGATATTTGATTTATCAAGTTTTGTAATAAATGTCAAAAGAATTGTTTTGAAGATATCTATATGAACTTTAGTAGTAGTGTTAGTGATGATCGAAAGATGTCGCTGTATTTTCGTTTTGTTTCGTTTCGTTCTACAGTGGGTTTCGTTCTAGGTTACCAAATTTTTTCAAATTTGTTTTTTATCTGAGTGTTAACATTACGTATTTATCCGTAGATCTACGGATTTTTGACACGATGTAAGATTTTTCGATAAATATTATAAATCTATAGATTTTTTATGGTTATTGCTTTTTGAACTCCAGATGGACACGCAGTAGAAACACATGCAAAATTTTCAGTGCTTTTTTCTGCAAGATACTTTGTACTTATCCTTATTAAATAATTAATTACAAGTTTTGTAGTAGGTACGTAGCGAGAAAGAATAATTATTTTATATAAAGGTCGATATTTTTTCTGTAAAATATGGATTACCTATTTTTAGATTACCTATTTCTTTGTTTTTCTTTAATTCAATTAAACTATTTTAGGACAAAAAATAAAATATCATAGAAATGCTGAAATCATTTATTTCCAATGAGTAGGTATTGTTTATAACATTTGAATTATCTAAAACTTATCTTCTAATTGAAATCGGAAGAAATAACACCAAGATACCAAGATATCACTATAATTATATATAATTTACAAGTATGGGCTTATTTTAAAAATATTTAAATACATTTTATAATAGAATAAGCAACCGTCAACATGTATAAACATTTCTTTATCAACATGTTCGTTGTTTATACATATTATATTTGTTTAAAATTGCTTCTCATTTTTTTCATAAAATAAACGGAATAGGCAAACAATATTTCTATACATTTTCACACATTTGCTAAGCTGTACTGAGTTACAGATTTCGTGAAATAACATGCTTCTTTAAATTTTGTGATCAAATCCAAATCTTACAATCTTCTTCAAGATTGTCCCGAAAATGTAAATGGTAGGTGGTGGTTAGATATTAGAAATCTAAAATAAAAATCTAAAATTGTTTCAACAGGTTCCCATGAAGGAACGTCTTGAAACGCTTAATCTTCGAAATACTTACAGCCGGTTAATATTTGAGAAAAGAAACAATATTTTCTAAAATGTTTCCGGAAACTATTGATGTAGGTAGCGGATTGAACAGAGGCGTAGATATTGGGGATTAGTATAACTGAGTAACTATGTAGTCGACGCTACTGGAAATTTTGAAAATCAAGTTAATATTTTGAATTCTGGTGATACTCATAAAGATTTCTATCATTTTATTCGAGATGCAGACTTTCATTTTTAATGTACACTGTACCGTTATGCAAACACGTCAGAGAATTTAAAATAACTTTTTTTATACAACGTTTTAATGAAAATTTCAAAAAAATCAAAGGCATAGAAATTTTGCAAGAGAAAAATGAGAAATTTTCCCGCTACTGATTTTTACTTATATACTATTTTTACCCCTTTTAACACAAATAAAATGAATGTCGAACTAATTTAGCACCATCCATGCATTTAAGTTTAGTAACACATTTTAAATCAACTAAATGTATTTTAATTATAGGTATTTTTTGAGTGGTTATGTAAAAGCTTTTTATTTGTTATTGCTTATTATTTTTAAACATAAATTATTTTATTTTGTTTGAAATTGTAAAAAACAAACAATTAAACTAGGTACTAATATTTAAATGTTAGCAGATTTCTCTTTCTTTTTGCATCTCTGTTATTATTTTTAATGATTTTTTTTAATTTTCACATTGAATGTACACGTTTTATTTATAAAAATGCAAAAATTAAATTTCAGATATATATTTTTTTAATTGAATAATTAGTTCACAGTTAATTAAAACAGAAGTGTGAAGAAACATAATATGTGTAAGTAAATTTTCATTCATATGCTTTGAGGACGGAAAAATGTTTTGGTTATACTTTTTTTGTAACGTTTTTTTAATGCAAAATAAAAATCAGCACTGCATTCGTAACACATAATTTACTATTCCAAATGATAGATTTTAAATTGATTTCAGGTTTTTTGAGTGACGTTTAAGATTTACTTCACGAAATTTGTCACAGATCTAATTATTAGCATATATACGTTTTCCAGGCACTGACGTGTGTGAGTATTTTAAATATAATATCAGTCCTGTGTATTTACAAAGGCGTGATTCAATAATTTTTTTATATAACAGAAAACTCAACATGAACAAAGCTATATACTAATCTGCAGCACTTAAATTTTATAACGTTTTTACATTTTTTAGAACATTGCGTTGCTTTATGACATTCATTAAGTACAACAAAATTAATTGTAAAATATTTACATCCTCCAAATAATTTACAAAATTAGTTATAGATATTATAATTATTATCATTAATGTAAGATTACTTGCATTTTCTTAACTCTAGGTATATATTATGTGTATATTTAATAAATTTTATCGAAACATAACAGTAAAGTAAAACTAAACAATACTGTTGTAAGAAGACTTCTAATAATGATATATTGTTATAAGGAGGTATTCTTGTATTACTTGGAAAAGACATGTAAGGGAATGGAAATGTAATTGGAAATATAACTTGGCTGTGGTTTGTGGTGGACTTCGTAAGACGTTTGATTATGTGTCATTTTAATATTTTCGTTTTTAGTTAATAACATTCAGGGGCTTAAGCAGATTAAAACCCGATCGCTTGTTGAGTTTTTTCTTGGAATGTGAAATTTTATTATAAATTTACTTAAATTTATAAAAAAAGCATCTTAATCCGCTGAATAAGGTCCCTCATGCCACACGATTGTTATAATAGCTTTGTTCCTAGAAGCAATACTTCCCAACAGTCAGACGCTTGCGTATTCCAGTATAATATTTACGCAAGGTTCAAAATTCAATGTTTGGAAGCAAATGCGATTGGGTCCGACTGTTGGAAACTGATTGTAATGCACTAGGAACAAAGCTAATTAAATTTTCAAACAAATGAGTTATGTATAATTTTAAGCTAGGACGACACTGAACACAATATTCGCTATATCTGCTATGTCTGTTATGTGCCATAGCCAACATTATTTTATATCTTAACTGGACGTAAATATAGAATGCGTATAATATAATTATGTATACGCTAAGCTTGCGAGTGTAGTTTTTGAGTTTTTGCTACACTTCTATTCTTCGTATTTCAAAATAACTTTCACTGTTTTAAAGAGGCAACGTCACACTAGAGTAGGGGTCGACAAGTAATTTTAGGTGGGGTCCGGATACTTTTGAAATTTTTTAACGAGGTCCAGAAAAAAAATCATATTTCTTACTATTTTTTTATTTTCATTTGCATTAAGAACTCAAATCAGTCACAATTGTAAAATACTGGAAAAAATGATAAGGGTGGCACTCAAACGTAAAAAAATATTTTTTAAATAATTTATTTGAGTAATTTATATTTTCAAAAAATTTTTGGTGGTCCAGTATTTTACCTTCCGCGGTCCGGATCTGGACCGCGGTCCGCCAGTTGCCGACTCTTGCACTAGAGCGTATTTAAAGGTATGTTGTGTTTGTGAATTTAGATAAACAGTGAAATGTTGAGACTTTGAACCATTCTTAGTTATGTCGCCCTATTGTAACCAAAAAGATAGATAGATAAGTCAACCGAATATTCTGAGGAAGAAGTATAGGTGAATAGTATAGTGATAACAAAAGAGGCGCAAGAACGTAAACAAGACAGTGAACAAGAAAATAATAATGAAAATGAGTACAGGGTGATTCACAACATCCAAAAAATTTGAAAATAGATGCGTCATGAAAAATGCAGTCAATATCGTTATTTTTTTTAATCCTTATAGTTTCCAAGAAAAAAATGATCGAATTGTAATATTTTCACCTTTACAATGTTGGACTACTGTAGTCTCTAGCGTCATCGGAATGAATCATGTTCGCGTAGTGCGCTGTAGGCAGTGCTCTCTCTCTCCACGAGTCCAGCGATTCCGAATATTGAAATCCGATTTTAGTATTAACGTTTTTGTGATAGTGTTTATATTAGTTTTTCAAGTGTTAAAAATGGCTTACGTGTATAGCAACTCGGATTTGATGGATATCGTTTTAATCTATGGTGAAGCAAGACAACATTTGTGTTATGGTGAAGCAACATTTGTGTCAGTTCGTAGAAACTAGGTAAGACGGGCCCAAATGTGTTTACACGTCGGTGGACAAAATTTTGAACTGTTATTATAATATCAGGAATGTCAAATTATTTTAATAATTAAAACCACAAATTAATTTAATTAATTAATAATAACAATAGAGGCAAAAGTAGTTGAATTTGCTGATATAAACTAGGTGTTATAAAATTATATTTATTTCTTTCCTTAGGAAATCCAATTTTTTGTTTGTTCATTTTTTATTACACTTTGCTGCCGTGCCGGTAGCCGACTGCATGCTTTGCCTTGCACAAGGTTAGGTTTTACAGTGGACCAGTTACCAGTGCCGTGCAAAAGTGTATTTTTAAATCATTTTCGCACTGCCCTTTTTGATTTTTTTTTACAAAATTGTATTTGTAAGAGTCCCCTGTTCATTTAAAACACTTTTTTGGGGTAAGTTCTGAATCATCCTGTGTATACGAATGGATGTTACAAAAACAACTATTTAATCAAGATTAGCGGTTTTAAGGCCTTAGTTAGGAATATTTTACCCGACTTTGTTGTTCTCGGGTTAGACTCTGTGAAGGTGGACTCGCCATAAGAGCCCCTAGGCCTTCCCTGATGTTCATTTCACTTCTTATTGTTGGCTCTAAAGTCGCCATGGACGGAATCGCTCCTCAGACAATTGTGGCTCTCTGAGACGTTCTGTAGGAGTCTCTATTTTGTCTCTACCATTTACAGAGGTCACTATTGTCTGAGAAGTGGTTTCGTCAGTAGCAGCCCTAAATTCGTTTCCAGAGTTTTGGCTAAAGAGAGACTACTGGATGCAGAGTTTTAGCAACTTGTTGGGTACCTATTAGACGTGGTTTCTAGAAATTACAAATAAAAAAACTAAAGGGCGATGGAATACTTTCTATAACAGGTTCGGCTTCTAGCGGTCAAAATACATAGGTGGAAAGAACAAAAAATTATTTATTTATATATACGAAGGTACGAAGTATATTAGGTAGGAGCTAAAACGAAAATAATAATTAATTAAATGGAATTATGTAGTCGTTGAACATGGAATTTCATAAAAGTGCGACATATCGCTGGATTCGTATTTCTTCAGCCAACCATTTACGAAAGACCAATATGTCGTCCATAAGAAAAAAAAGTTGGTTAGCGTAGGTAGAGAAGACCTTCACCGTTATAATCACAAAGATGTTTTATGCCTTGAAACTGAATTTTGTTCTTTATTAGCAAATGAGTGGAAAATAAAAAAAAGTTTTTCCATTTTATTCCTCATGTTTTAAGTATTATTTAATTGAAATCTCTCAAATATAATTTCAAGAATACTTTCGGTAAAATATTGGGCAATAATATTATAACCTGAGTCAATCTCTAATAGTTTAGTTTATGGTATTCCTACAGTCTTCCATAAAAACAGTTTCAGCTCAGTGTTATCTATTTATCTTGTTTCAAAATTACTATTGCAAGCCTTTTAGTTTGCATTTAGGTGTGATAAGGAAAGGCACCTTGCGTAAACCCCTGTGTATAGATCAGCGTATCCTATCACTGTGAACTATACCGTAAATATCATATGCATTCTGTGGCTATATCGGACATAGTAAACACAGCCAGCATAGCGTTCTGTGTGAATATAATACGCTTACATATATCGAAAGTAGCGATCTTAGCACTTTGAGAGTCTCTGGAGCAATAGGTTATTATAGTGTATAGTATTTGTAGTGTTTGTTGTTCTCCTAAAACTGAGGTTTGAGATCATCCAAGAGTTTTACAAATTAATATCACAAAATTTAATGACAGTAGAGTGAAGGAAGTCTAACGTTAATGGCTAAGGAAAGAATGACTACACATCTTCGATACTATCACATATGTATAAGTAGGCAAATAACGTGCAGAACTATTTAAGTTTTAATCACTAACTACAAATTGTGCCATTATATCACCAGTTTCTTTATGACGAATTTATTTAAATTTACATTATAAATATAAATAAATGAACATTTACCCTTATCCTAAATAATTTATCTAAATATAAATTCCAATAAAAATTGTAATGGTAGTGAAGTTGATATTGAGACCATGTAAAAAATTAATAGAGTTTAGAATTTCGGTAAAAAAATCTGATATATTTTGTTTACTTCTAGAGAACCACTATATTTTTCTTGTATTTAGAATATATTTGTTTACTTGACATATTTTTGTATTTGACTGAAATGTTGTGCTTCCCTCTAACAACTACATCAGGGTGGATATGCAAGAATGACTAGATATTAAATTTACCCTTCTTAATATTTCAGTACATCAAGTTCTAAACTAGACTCATTCATAACAAAAATCTGGTGAATTTGTTTCATATTAGTTTCCAGCCAAATACATTGTACAATTATTGATACGATAACCTATCTAATTATTTAAAACATCAGTCCTGTAAATGTTTAATGAATATATCTACACAATTTTAACAACCTTTTCTTCAATTTACAAATGACAACAACAAAACAACGCGTTGGTAAAATAATACATCTTACTAATCGTCCCACTTGGCGAAAGCCATGGGATCGCTCACGAAAAGTCCCGAAGTGCTACTTGTTGTCTGCGTGGTTGGATTTGATTTGTTGATCACGGATTTCGTGTTGTTCGTTTCCACATTGTAGCGCTGCTCGACCTGATACTGCTGCGCTGCGGGTTGGCTGATGTTGTTTTGCGCTTGTGGCTGGGCCCATGATGGACAGTGATCCCAAGTCTTGTTAGGCTCCCAGTCGTACGTCGGCTGGTTTTGACTGAATTTTGGTTGGGTAAATTGAAATAAATATGTTTTACTTCGTACCTCTACAATATACAGGGTGGGCCATAAATATGTACGATTTTACGAATATGTACGTTTCGAATGGTGAGTGAGAGTGAAGCACGAGTGGTGGGGAGGGATTCATTAGGTGTTTATTTCGAATTGCATTATTTAAAACACATGTTAAAACATTTACAGGTTCCACTGTTAATAAAAAACCTACAAAATGAAAGACAAGTTAATATGAAACGGGGAAGTAGTTAAATAAATTGGAATTTGTATAAAGGTAGATCCCGGATCATCAGATCTCAAAGTATTTGCATAAAAATACCTTAAATTGCATCTTTAAAAGGTACAATTAGTGCAGAAATTGAAACCGATTGACCTCAATTTATCTTGAAGAATTTCACTGAGGTCGGGTCCAAAACGTAGTGCAACAAATGAGTATACACTCATACTGGACTGGTGTATAGGGCTGTTATTTTCAAGCTGTATTGTAGGTAGGACCAGCCTGACTGAAATACGGCCTTAACAGTGCTAAATCGTTATCCAAGCATTTTCTCCTCGAAAGAAGCACATTTTTACTTGACCTACTACTACTAGAACCAGGAAATTCTCTACATTCACTGAAAGGATATGGTTTCAACAAGACGGAGTCACATGCCACACATCGAATGAATCTTTGCCTGTCATAAACGAAATGCAGAAAAACTCATATAACTTAGAGGAGGTATTTCATAGCCTCCCAGAAGCCTTGACTTGTATCTTACTGACATTTGTTTTTAAGAAATGATTTTCTTGGACCTCCACTTTAATAATAAAAGAAATTTTCAGTACTGTGTTTTAGTTAATTTTCGAATCCATCAACCTTTATAGTTCACCCTGTACATTGCGAATAGTTTCAAAATTGAACATACTTTGGATAGGCAAAGACTGAACTGACAAATTTAAGGTTGTCATAATTTTTAGTCTGCTACTTTGATGGTTGAGCTTTTTTGCTGAGTCGAGTTTTGATTTAATTTTAAATCATCCTCAGGAATTATGCATAAAACGGGTTGCAATAGTGTTTGGATTGCATTTACAATGTACTTGTAACTCCTAAATACCGACAAACAACTAATTACTACAACTCCAGTTCCAATTTATTTCGTATAAAAGCAACCATTTTGAGACATGTATGTACAAGCCAGGAAATTTTAAATTTATGCAAATTGTAAACGAACATATACCTAATTATCAACAATGTTGGTATTGATTGTTTTAATTTTCTTTAGTATGAGGATATCCTTACTACACAATGGTAGATATTTTTAACTCTCCAGCAAGATAACTATTTTGTCAGATCTAGGCGATAGAGCTCCTCGATATAAGGGCTTAGTTAGAGTTTTGCCAAAACAAAATGTAGTTATTGCTTGAATCAAAGTAAAATTTTCTTACTTTCGAAAAAAATTAACAAATTATGTTCTAGAAATTAATTCGAACAATTCAATAGTTTTCTAGGTAGGTATCACAAATTCAGATTAAAAATATTTAAAAATTGTAATAATTTTAAAATGTTTTAAGATAAATTTATAATTTTAAAAGCAAAAAATTAATTAGATATTGTTTCAGACAATAAAACTTAGCTTAGCTTAAAATGTTTTAAGATAGATTTAAAATGAATATAAAATAGGTATTTTCTTCATTACCCACCAAACCACAATTATTTCTTTTAATAAAAAACAGAATAGACATTGCAGCTTGGTAAATTTTGCTTACGCAAAAAACAGTTTAATGAAAATTAGAATAATAAACGGTCAAATAGACTTTCTATTAATTATTATTAAACTATTATAACATAATTTATTACACTAATGAAGAAAAATATTTAAAAGTTATTATTTATGGTGACAACATATTAATTGTCAACAGTATATTAGAATATAATAGTAAAACTGTATGCTTTACCTAAACCAAAGTCAAAGACATTGAGAAAACTTGTATAAAACTGCAATTTTGAAACTGGAAAATTAAAAACAATATGAATTCCTGAATATCACGATAAAATTTTATTAAAAAAGTATCTTCATAAATTTAAACATTTTTAAATTGTTAAATAAATATTAATCGTGCAATAAAAAATGGAATAAGCTAAGTTTCAGTTCTTTCAAAAAAATTATATTTAGTAATCTGCAAAATACTATCCCATTTATGATTTTACACCCAGTAAGTATGCCTATATGTATCATATATATAATAAAGTTCATAGAACGAGATTCAATTGTGAGGAGGCTGTCATTATTTTTTTTAACTCACCTGAAAATACTTTGATCGGTATAGGACGATGCGCTGTTAAATTTCGGCTTTTCGTGGTCCGTTACTGTCAATTCGATATTTTGGTCGCCGTCTGAGCCCTCCTCTAGCGTACTGTGCTTGATGCCGTAGTAAAAGTACATTATAAATCCCAGAGTCATCCAAATGGTAAATCTAACAAAAGTGTACGGCGAAAGTTTGAGGATAAGGTAGATGTTGACGGTTATGGCAACAACAGGAATAAAGGGCAGCCCTGGTGTCATAAACATAAGCGAGTTTCTGAAAATAATGTTAGTTACGTAACAAATTTAGAAGTAAAATTTGCTTGAAAATATATGCAAGCTTATGCGAAATTTGATACCACATTATGGGATTTCATAGAAGAATTCAGTGTTTAAAATTAATTGTTTAATATATTATACTTGTAACTTTCCCTACGAGAAGTAATGTTTTGGTAATCTGCGGATCCAGTCCGAGTGTATTGCTGAATAAATTTATTTTATGATAATGATAAATACAGGGTGTAACAAAAATAAGGTTACAAACTTTTCCAGCAGATAGAACACTTAAAATTAGTAGTGGTACTTCATATAAAATTTTTGCCTATAGTGCTTCTTTGGTGAGGGTGTTGAAAAGTTGGAATTTGGTATATCCCCCTCATAACCTGAAACCTTCAATGATTAAGACTGTAATTCAGGTGTGGAGATATGAGGAAGCCAAACCAAAAAGAAATATAGGTGAATTTCTAAATTGCCTGTTCCCTTTAGAGCAAAAAGTGTAACTTCAGTTATTTTCGGGCGAGCCTTCGTTCTCCAGCTATTTGATGTACGATGAAAAGTTTGTTGGTTTATTCGTATATTATAACATTTTTGCTATTAACAAAATATCACATAATAAAATGAAACAAACATGCTAATACAAACTAATGGATACTTTTTCTCTCATAACAAATGTTGAAAATCCATTCTCCTAGATTCAATACACGCTCGGGCACGTCGAACCATATTTAAGCGTACCTATCCGTTGAAATATTCCAGGATAATTACAGATTCCGTCACATGATTCATTAAACGTCGTCGAAGCATATCTTCATCGGCTATTGGCAATTCATATACTTTGATGGAAATGAAGGCTGATGGGGAGGGAGGCACCATCGTGCATGTACCATAAATTAGCTCGTGTTTCTAATGGTACATCTTCCAGAAGTTGCGGTAATATATTTACTAAGAAGTTATAATAAAGATCTCAAGTAAGACGTTGTGGAAAAATGTAAGGACCAATTAGATAATCTACTATAATACCCGCCCACACATTTATCTTAAAGTTAACTTGACGCCTGCCTTCAATTATTGCACGAGGGTTCTCATCTGCTCATTGATGTTCATTATGGCAATTATAAATACTATTCTTGGTAATCTTGGGTTAGTCGTTTGCTGTATAAACCATCTGCAAAAATTTTCTCTCATAGAAAAATCAGTAGACGTGAGAGCTTGAACTCGTTGTAAATGATAAGGGTAAAGGTGCTGCTCCTATAATACCCTCCAAGTGGTCATTTGGTTAGTATTAAATTGTCTGGTTAATTGCCGAGTACTGACATTTGGATTTTCATCAAGAGCTTCCAAAATAAATTCTTCAACNACTTTTCGCCTCTCTTCACCAACTCGATCACTTCTATTTATACAATGTTTTACAATACACTTGCCCATGATAAAACGTCTAATTATCGAAATCACAGCGATGCGTACACATCAAATGCTAGGACACGACTGAGCGCTGGGCTCCAAATCAGGCTCCAAAGTGTTTTCACCAAAGTCGCTCTATAAGCCAGTCTAGGTGGTCTGTGATATTTAAGCGTACCTTTCCTTTAAAATATTCCAGTATAATTACAGATTCCGTCACGATTCATTAAACGTTGTCGAAGCATATCTTCATCGGCTATTGGCAATTCATATACTTCGATGGAAATGAAGGGTGATGGGGAGGGATGCACCATCATGCATGTACCATAAATTAGCTCGTGTTTCTAATGGTACATCTTCCAGAAGTTGCGGTAATATATTTACTAAGAAGTTATAATAAAGATTTCAAGTAAGACGTTGTGGAAAAATGTAAGGACCAATTAGATAATCTACTTAATTCCCGCCCACACATTTATCTTAAAGTTAACTTGACGCCTGCCTTCAATTATTGCACGAGGGTTCTCATCTGCTCATTGATGTTCATTATGGCAATTATAAATACTATTCTTGGTAATCTTGGGTTAGTCGTTTGCTGTATAAACCATCTGCAAAAATTTTCTCTCATAGAAAAATCAGCAGACGTGAGAGCTTGAACTCGTTGTAAATGATAAGGGTAAAGGAGCTGCTCCTATAATACCCTCAAAGTGGTCATTTGGTTAGTATTAAATTGTCTGGTTAATTGCCGAGTACTGACATTTGGATTTTCATCAAGAGCTTCCAAAATAAATTCTTCAACCTCAACTGTACGAGCTTTTCGTGATCTTCCACTTCCTAGTAATGCAGTGGTCACTGTGTGTTTTTTTCTAACATTTCAACATCCTGTATCTTACCAAGGAAACACTTTAGGCAAAAATTTTATATGAAATACCCCTACTAAGTTTGTAACCTTATTTTTATTACGCCCTGTATAATATTTACAATTTTATTACAGTTTTTGATTTGCCCATAACTTTCCAATTGCTATAACTTCCAGAAAGCTTCTCGTAATAGATAGTTAGATCTAACAATAGCTTTAAATGATTCTTCTTGCCCTAGATTTGTATCTATGACCAATCTTGTGCAGAGTAAAATTGCATCATTAAATATAATTTTGTAAGCACGTGCTGTCGAAGATATTAATAGATTTTAGAGTTTAACTAATTGTAAGTATATGAACATTTATTTACGTTTATAGTGTTGATGTTTTAACAAATATAATGCAGTGTCTAAATGTAAAAATTGTTTAAGGTAATATCACCAACCTGTTTTGAGGTTTCCTCGATATGACGAGACAAACCGCCACGATGCCGAACAGAAGAAGGAGGACGAAACACGTAAGAGTGGTGTTCATACTTTGCATTCCGAATACGATTATTAGGTCGAAGATTATGATGAGGATATATAAATTCCCAACCATTTTCATTACGAACATTCCCGACTCTTCCGTTGCAGGTCCAGTGTCTACCCAGGGGAAAATTGCCGGGCATAGATACGTGGCAGCCTATAAAAAAAAATTAATGAAAGTCTGTCATGGAATAATATTCTTATTTATAAAGTCGTGTTTATGCGCAAAAATAGTTTATCATGATTAAAGTCTGCACGGAATGTTGGGTTGTGTGTATTTAATTTTATTAATGGTTGATGATGAGGTCACTAACTTGCAATCTACGCCCAATATATCCTAAACTGGGACCAACTGTGGATCCCACTACACCTCCCGTACTGGTTGCACTACCCCCACCATGAAGAGTTCCTGTCAAAAAAAAATATATATATATTGAAATTGTCTTTCGGCATAGATATTATTACATATTTTCTTTTAAACGTATATTCTATTATAGAGAGTGGTTGTCAAATGTTGTCAAAAGGAATCGAATATAATAATAGATTTTGATAGACATTAAAATATCAATGACACAATATAACACGTGTGTTTTTGTGTTAATTATATTTAGACATTTAATTTTTAGTTTTTATTTTGGATATTTGTTACTAGCTATTTACTAGATATTGCTGATTCAATGCCAGTTGGGGCGTGTAGACCATAGAGTAGTTGTTTCCCATAAATCAGCAGTTAGGAGACTTGTCTATGGAATTAGATATCTTTTGCATACCGAGATTTATGGTATTGAAGAAGATTATTTCACTTTATTTGCCGAAATATTTTAGAAACAATTGTTTAAATCAGACCGGTGAAAATAGACATTCAAGGTTACAATAATTCGCATAAAACTGAAAATTGGTACGAATGTTGGAAAGACCATTATAAATGAAATGTGAAAAGTCCCCATCGATCTCACATCTGCAAAAAAATTTATTCAAGGTCAAAGTTCGGAACTATGGGGTTTTTTGCATTTTTCAGGCAAACGGTAAGTTTTATCATAAAAATAGGTCTGACAGAAATTGTAGACCATGCAATTATCTATAAAAATTGTGGTTACACTTTTTTTCCTAAGAATCACTATTTCTGAGATATAGATAATTTTCAGGAGGCTTTGCCCCAACAGTTTTTAAATTGTTTGAAAAACAAGATTTAGATAATTGTGCTAAAGTTTTTAAAGAGAATAACTGTACTCGACAAGCTGCAATCACCAACGGAATTCGCTTCCTTCTATCTGTATATGGAGCTCCAAAAAAAATTACCTGTTTAGATAAGTTTCGATACTTAACTTTTGTAACAATAAAAGAGTGCAATTAGCTTGTCTTCCTCCAACCTCTGATTCTGCTCATCAACATCTATTTTGCATATATTATTAAGTTCAAGTGTGGCTTGGTAATAAATGGACCCAGAAGACTGGGGTTGGAAGTTAATTGACAATACATTGGAACCAATTCAGACTTTACTCTCTACCTGCACCGGAAAACTCCTCAATACAATTTGCATTTTATTTGCAATTACAAAAAGAGGTGTAGTGCTAAGTGTGGCTGCAAAAAAGTTGGATTGTTTTGTTCATTAGCATGTACCAGTTGTCAAGACCAGTCGTGCTCTAATGTTGAATCGCCATCAAAAGAGGATTCTTACGATATTAGCGAGGAGACATCTGAAGCATCGCTGTTAGAACAATTTACTTGTATCCATCAGGAAGAAGAAGGAGAAGAAGGAAGAGAAGAGGAAGAAGAAGAAGGAGACAGAGAAGATGAAGAAGAAGACATTATACTTGAGGTTCCGTTAGATAATTATCAATCAGACGAATAGTTTTCCCCAAGTACTTGTAATTCACACCGCTTTCATCATTTCCAATAGTACCATTTTTTATTTAATACAATAGTATTTAATTAAACAGGACAACAATAGATCGTGGAATAGGCCTACTGGGGACACCACGTTAAGTAAAACGCGCCAAATACACTACCTCACAAGTGGCATGGAAACGTGTGTATAATATGGAGAACACAACTTTTTCAACTTTTTGAATCGCTATATCTCAGAAATGGTGATTCTTAGGAAAAAAGCGCAAGAACAATTTTTATAGATCTACAATTTTTGTCTAATCTATTTTTATGATGGATCTTGCCGTTTGGTTGAATAATGCAAAAAATCGATGGGGACTTTCACATTTCCTTTATAATGGTGTTCCCAATACTCATATCAATTTTCAGCTTTATGCTAATTATTGTAATCTTACCCTTATTTTTAAGCTATTTTAACCGGCTTATTAATCGTATATGTATAACTTAAAATAGACTAAAAAATTCGAGAGCTAATAATATAATACGTTTTGTTATATTACATAATTCCTACTGTTTTTTTTTTTTTTGATAGACTGATGTCGAATGGACTATTTCTCGAGAATATCTACCATTTATGTATATTTGATTTTGCGAAATATAAATAAACTACTCTTTTACCATTTATGTGAAACAAAATCTAAACATTAAATTATGTATCAGCTTACCATAAAATTTATTTTCTGTTCTATCGGAAACTAAAAATTGATCATCTCTTCCAGAAAAGTCCTCCTCCGGCTCATCTCCTCCAAGGGTATCGTCGCTGTCAGGAGAACTGAAAATGGTGAGTTTTTTAACAAGTTGTTATGTACTTAATTTGATATAAACTATTCAGTTTCATTGCAATTAGGTTTCAAAATCTGATATATTTCGAATGTTGAGAAGTTTTAGTTAGTTATCCAAAACCCAATCCAAAACTATACGGATCATTTCAGATCTTTCTTTTTTAGATATACAGAGTGATTCATAACCCAAAAAAATATTTATTATACTTTCAAATACAATAGCATAAAAGAGAAATAAAAAAAGGACACTTGGAAAATTATTTAAAAATATTTACATATTTACGTAGCACTGGATTTTTGGTCGATTGTAATACCTAATGAAAATAATTTACTGTGGTAATAAATAAGTAACATTTTATCACAGTTATTCCAATTTAGTCAATTCAGTTATTGCTTTTATTATTATTATCAATTCCTAATATTGTTAAATGTTATCAGTAATTTTTAATTATTAATTTGATCCAAAATTTTATCTACTGACTCTTAAACTCATTTGGGTACGTCTGATTGACGTTTTGAGGAATCAAGGCAAATGTTTCTTCTTCTCACTTGTCTTGTAAAATTTTGCTTTAAATAACCATTTTTGAACAAATTACAAAATAAATAAGGAAATAAACAGGAAATAAATACTGCATTAATTTTTTCATTAAGTAGAGATGAACTGGAAACAAACTATCCATGGAAAAATATATTCCTTTAAATCAGAAATTTACACCAAATTAGCTGTAACCGCTGGGCGCACAATATACTGAACAATTACCTTGTTTATTATAGCGATACAATATAGATGAAATGGCGACAATTAGGGTGGGTGTGAGTGGGGGTGAAGCGCCACTTATCGGAAGAAGTGCGGTCGTTTAATTCGAATGTAATTATTAGCCAGGCACAGCGAATGTAGCCCTCGAGGGCACTTTTGATGGCCCTTTCCGGTTAATGGTGATAATTTCGTTTTAATGCATCAGTATGGATCGACGTATTAAACTGCTCCATGTGGCGGAAGGTAAAGCAGATTAGCTATATTACGCTGTCACACGAAAAAGATTTCGTTGATGTGCACTCAGTGTGACAAGAAAAATATGTCTTTTAGTTTATAGCAAGCTATACAGGCTGTTACAAATTCGCTTCTCACTACAGGGATCTCTGAAACGGTAAGAGATACGAAGTAGCTTAAATGGGTGGCTTAAAGTTACGTTATCAGGGGATCAACATTATGCATATAAAAAATCAAGGCTAACATGATTAGTTTTCGAAATATATGAAAAAAAATCAAAATTTCGGAAATCCGGTTTTGTTTCATTTCAGCCTTGTTTGAGATGATATTGAAAAAAGAAGAATTCTTTCTCATGGCAACTCTTTGCCATCTATCGAATGACACAATCAATTTNTTTGATCCAAAATTTTATCTACTGACTCTTAAACTCATTTGGGTACGTCTGATTGACGTTTTGAGGAATCAAGGCAAATGTTTCTTCTTCTCACTGGTCTTGCAGTCGTAAGTCATTGGCAGCAGCAGTAATACATTTAAGTAAATCATCAATAGCTTCCACTTCAGTACGATAAATTGCACTTTTTAAATGCCCCCATAAAAATAATCGAGAGAGTTTAGGTCAGCAATGACCACGCCACCGGTCCTCGTTCAATCTGCCATACTTTTTGAACAAAAAAAGGGGCCCACCGTAGTTCGAGCAGCTAAGGGCATTCAAGAAGCTCAGGCACATTATGTCCAAGAAATTCTAGACATTGGGAACCATCCATTCGAATAAATATTCAAAGAAAACGGTGCTGGAAATGTTGAGGCAGGTGGATTTTTAAGTTTAGAGCATTTTTTTTTATTTTTTGAGAATTTTGCCACCTTCGAAAATATTTCAAAATTAATGAAATAAACCCTTCCGCCAAGAGGATTGGTCAAAGGTAATTTTTATGAAAATAGTTTTGCCTAACCAAAAATTAAAATAAAGTAATAAAGTATGTATGTAGTTATGTACAGATGAGATAAAGTTTTTTAATTTAAAAAACTAATTAAAAGTGCCTTAAGTATACAAATAGGTACTTTGGAAACATTATTTTATAATTTTTATTGAGAAATAATGACTTTTTTATGTGGACAAGCAAATTTATTAGAAATTTTATCAATTGTAAAATTTTTCTTTAAATAACCATTTTTGAACAAATTACAGAAGAAATAAGGAAATAAACAGGAAATAAATACTGCATTAATTTTTTCATTAAGTAGAGATGAACTGGAAACAAACTATCCATGGAAAAATATATTCCTTTAAATCAGAAATTTACACCAAATTAGCTGTAACCACAGGGCGTACAATATACTGAACAATTACCTTGTTTATTATAGCGATACAATATAGATGAAATGGCGACAATTAGGGTGGGTGTGAGTGGGGGTGAAGCGCCACTTATCGGAAGAAGTGCGGTCGTTTAATTCGAATGTAATTATTAGCCAGGCACAGCGAATGTAGCCCTCGAGGGCACTTTTGATGGCCCTTTCCGGTTAATGGTGATAATTTCGTTTTAATGCATCAGTATGGATCGACGTATTAAACTGCTCCATGTGGCGGAAGGTAAAGCAGATTAGCTATATTACGCTGTCACACGAAAAAGATTTCGTTGATGTGCACTCAGTGTGACAAGAAAAATATGTCTTTTAGTTTATAGCAAGCTATACAGGCTGTTACAAATTCGCTTCTCACTACAGGGATCTCTGAAACGGTAAGAGATACGAAGTAGCTTAAATGGGTGGCTTAAAGTTACGTTACCAGGGGATCAACATTATGCATCTAAAAAATCAAGGCTAACATGATTAGTTTTCGAAATATATGAAAAAAAATCAAAATTTCGGAAATCCGGTTTTGTTTCATTTCAGCCTTGTTTGAGATGATATTGAAAAAAGAAGAATTCTTTCTCATGGCAACTCTTTGCCATCTATCGAATGACACAATCAATTTTTATATGTAACGATACGTTTTACTAAGACCATCATCAACTTCATTTTTTAAATACGTCCCTAGAAATTTCATTACATTTTTTGCATGCCTTCATGACACCCAATACTGTACTGCCTCAGTCCGAACCAGATGTAGACGTTTTGCCGCGAAAACTTCATCTTCAATATATTTGTTCCAAATTTATCTAGATTTTTTATTTAGATTTCTATGTTTATTGAATTATCGTACACTCTAAGTGTCATTAGACCCTTTGAAATTGAATTTTGAGCACTCATAAGGTCTAACGACACTTAGGGTGTACGATAATTCAATAAACAGAGTTCTAAATAAAAAATTTAGATAAATTTAGAAGGAATACATTGAATATGAATTTTTCGGGACAAAACGTCTGAATCTGGATTTTACAGTGTGTTTTTTAATTGGCTATACAATCACACTTTTTATAATTAAATGTTAAGCATGGTTTTGGATATAATCTAAATGTTTATAAGTATAAAAAAGTGTTAAAAAAACTGTTTTTATGTAAAAATCAAAAGGCCCTTGGCAATAAATTAAAATTCCATTTAAATACAAAACTAAGTTAGGTTTTAAGCTTTAAAAATTGACTTTCTAAACCCTTTTTTGTTAATAACTTTTCGGAGAGAAAGAAGGTTAAAGTTATGCACTGTTGCCCTTAACGGGATGAAAAATAGAATTTTACAAAAACTACCTATTGGTTCTACAGCGCCCATATTTCGCACAGTTTTGAATAACAATAAAACTCAGAACTTTTAGGTATATTTACATTCCAACAAATAACAACCAAGTTATTCCACTTTCTTATGTTCTTTTTTGCAATAACTTAAACAATTTATCCGATTTTAATCTATCAGGCGGCATTTTGTAGGTCTTTTTATTGCGCATATTCCGTATGTTTAACACTTTTTTCTAAAATCAATAGTTTTCCCAATATATTGGAAAAACTGATTTTCGATCCAAGTTGTTAAAAAAAAACATTGTTGCTAATGAAAAAAGATGAGACCTTTTCTACTGTCTTCCCCACATTTCAACAATAAAATAGCGGACGTCAATTCATCGATTTTTCTAGTCCGTTTACTGCTATAGCGATTCGTCTATAATGTAGATAGTGTGTAAAATTGTGTCAAAACTATTGATAACTGTTCTTTTGGAAATACAAATTCAGTCGAAATTGACTTCTCTTATTTTACTTATAAGTCTATACAGGGTGATTCAGTCATATTGTCATTAATTTTACTCGGAAGAACTAATAAAGAGAGAAAATCGAAAAAATATTTTCTCGGCCTTTTAAAAGATAAGCAAATTACCCCTCAACTTCCGCTAATTTGGCGCACTTACATCTGACTGGGACGAACCAGCAGACCTCAAAGCGTTCGAACATTGAATCTACTACCATTAAGCGCATCTTCCGCATTGTTTTCCCGCAAATTTGGAGACTACGTCATACAAATGGAGAGAGTATAGAAAGTGTGCAGAATGCAATATAACCTGCAGTTTATTTCGGATTGTTTCGGGTGTCGGTTGTAATGGCTAATCTTGCGAATTTTGAATATGCGGAAATTGTGATTTTATATGGAGAATATTTACGAAATCCAAATAATGATTTGAAGATACTTTTTTTTCAGCGAAAATATGTATTTTAAAATATTCCCATAAAATTAAAGACATTATGACTGAATCACCTTGTATAAAATAATAAACATTTCTTATTAGTTGTTCTAAAGACAAATACCTTCTCGTTACCCTCCGTACCATGACCCTCTGCGTGGTCTGGGTAGGCAGCGGCGACGGCGACGGCGACGGGATCGGCGGGCCCAGGTTGGCGTCGATCGCCTGCTTGAGCTGGTCGGGGTGCAGCTGATTACCGTAGAAGGCTTGCCCGTTCGGATTCTTCGAAAGCTCTTCTTTAGTCGGCGATCCCCTAAGGGGAGTCCGTAGGCTTTGGGGCAGCAGCTCGACCAGATTGGTCGAGTACGGCTGATATCTTAAGATTAGGACACAGGTTGAGACCAGAGTATAAGCTAACAAGGTACCTGGAAGGGCAATAGAGAGAAAATGTATCTATTGGAAAAATAAGGAAATAAAAATGTTTCAGAAAGTATAAGTTATATGTTTACATTCAGAAAAAATATTACTTTGAATATTTGTATATGTAGTTACGTTGCCATAACTTCCAGGGCTTATTCCTTACGTCAAATTGACAAAAATTTCTTCTAAAAAGATTTTCAGAGATTGGAAGTGTAACAATTTTTGTTCAGCTGTTCAAAAATCGTTAAAATATATATTTCAAATTTGGTATAGTGCCAGCAATATCAGCATTAGGAACGGACTTAGAGGTTTCAACTGCCAATATATCTCATAGTGTNCGGTTAATGGTGATAATTTCGTTTTAATGCATCAGTATGGATCGACGTATTAAATTGCTCCATGTGGCGGAAGGTAAAGCAGATTAGCTATATTACGCTGTCACACGAAAAAGTTTTCGTTGGTGTGCACTCAGTGTGACAAGAAAAATATGTCTTTTAGTTTATAGCAAGCTATACAGGCTGTTACAAATTCGCTTCTCACTACAGGGATCTCTGAAACGGTAAGAGATACGAAGTAGCTTAAATGGGTGGCTTAAAGTTACGTTACCAGGGGATCAACATTATGCATCTAAAAAATCAAGGCTAACATGATTAGTTTTCGAAATATATGAAAAAAAATCAAAATTTCGGAAATCCGGTTTTGTTTCATTTCAGCCTTGTTTGCCATCTATCGAATGACACAATCAATTTTTATATGTATCGATACGTTTTACTAAGACCATCATCAACTTCATTTTTTAAATACGTCCCTAGAAATTGACCTCCAATACTGTACTGCCTCAGTCCGAACCAGATGTAGACGTTTTGCCTCGAAAACTTCATCTTCAATGTATTTGTTCAAAATTTATCTAGATTTTTTATTTAGATTTCTATGTTTATTGAATTATCGTACACTCTAAGTGTCATTAGACCCTTTGAAATTGTATTTTTAGCACTCATAGAGTTTAACGACACTTAGGGTGTACGATAATTCAATAAACATAGAGATCTAAATAAAAAATTTATATAAATTTGGAAGGAATACATTAAAGATGAATTTTTCGAGACAAAACGTCTGAATCTGGATATTACAGTGTGTTTTTTAATTGGCTATACAATCACACTTTTTATAATTAAATGTTAAGCATGGTTTTGGATATAATCTAAATGTTTAGTATAAAAAAAAGTGTTAAAAAAAACTGTTTTTTATGTAAAAATCAAAAGGCCCTTGGCAATAAATCAAAATTCCATTTAAATAAAAAGCTAAGTTAGGTTTTAAGCTTTAAAAATCGACTTTCTAAACCTTTTTTTGTTAATAACTTTTCGGAGAGAAAGAAGGTTAAAGTTATGCACTGTTGCCCTTAACGGGATGAAAAATAGAATTTTACAAAAACTATTGGTTCTACAGCGCCCATATTTCGCACAGTTTTGAACAATAATAAAACTCAGAACTTTTATGTATATTTACATTCCAACAAATAACAACCAAGTTATTCCACTTTTTTATGATCTTTTTTTGCAATAACTTTTTTAATTTTAATCTATCAGGCGGCATTTTGTAGGTCTTTTTATTGCGCATATTTCGTATGTTTAATACTTTTTTCTAAAATCAATAATTTTCCCAATATATTGGAAAAACTGATTTTCGATCCAAGTTGTTAAAAAAAACATTGTTGCTAATGAAAAAAGATGAGACCTTTTCTACTGTCTTCCCCTCTACATTTCAACAATAAAATAGCGGACGTCAATTAATCGATTTTTCTAGTCCGTTTACTGCTATAGCGATTCGTCTATAATGTAGATAGTGTGTAAAACTGTGTCAAAACTATTGATAACTGTTCTTTTGGAAATACAAATTCAGTCGAAATTGACTTCTCTTATTTTACTTATAAGTCTATACAGGGTGATTCAGTCATACTGTCATTAATTTTACTCGGAAGAACTAATAAAGAGAGAAAATCGAAAAAATATTTTCTCCGCCTTTTAAAAGATAAGCAAATTACCCCTCAACTTCCGCTAATTTGGCGCACTTACATCTGACTGGGACGAACCAGCAGACCTCAAAGCGTTCGAACATTGAATCTACTACCATTAAGCGCATCTTCCGCATTGTTTTCCCGCAAATTTGGAGACTACGTCATACAAATGGAGAGAGTATAGAAAGTGTGCAGAATGCAATATAACCTGCAGTTTATTTCGGATTGTTTCGGGTGTCGGTTGTAATGGCTAATCTTGCGAATTTTGAATATGCGGAAATTGTGATTTTATATGGAGAATATTTACGAAATTTTCAAATTCAAAATTCAATCCAAATAATGATTTGAAGATACTTTTTTTTTCAGCGAACATATGTATTTTAAAATATTCCCATAAAATTAAAGACATTATGACTGAATCACCTTGTATAAAATAATAAACATTTCTTATTAGTTGTTCTAAAGACAAATACCTTCTCGTTACCCTCCGTACCATGACCCTCTGCGTGGTCTGGGTAGGCAGCGGCGACGGCGACGGCGACGGGATCGGCGGGCCCAGGTTGGCGTCGATCGCCTGCTTGAGCTGGTCGGGGTGCAGCTGATTACCGTAGAAGGCTTGCCCGTTCGGATTCTTCGAAAGCTCTTCTTTAGTCGGCGATCCCCTAAGGGGAGTCCGTAGGCTTTGGGGCAGCAGCTCGACCAGATTGGTCGAGTACGGCTGATATCTTAAGATTAGGACACAGGTTGAGACCAGAGTATAAGCTAACAAGGTACCTGGAAGGGCAATAGAGAGAAAATGTATCTATTGGAAAAATAAGGAAATAAAAATGTTTCAGAAAGTATAAGTTATATGTTTACATTCAGAAAAAATATTACTTTGAATATTTGTATATGTAGTGACGTTGCCATAACTTCCAGGGCTTATTCCTTACGTCAAATTGACAAAAATTTCTTCTAAAAAGATTTTCAGAGATTGGAAGTGTAACAATTTTTGTTCAGCTGTTCAAGAATCGTTAAAAATATATATTTCAAATTTGGTATAGTACCAGCAATATCAGCATTAGGAACGGACTTAGAGGTTTCAACTGCCAATATATCTCATAGTGTCTTTATGGTAAAGTATATGCAACATGAGAGATGAAATAACCCTTCTAACTAATGATATTATGGGAAACAACTACCCTGCGAACTACATGCTCTGTCCAGAATTGAATTACAGCCCCCAATATCTAGTAAATAGCTAAAATCATTTGTCAGCGAGAAAACCAGATGTAAGCTATATCCCACCCACAGTCAAAACATAGCTGAATCGGTTGACGGTCATCTCACCCAACGCATACTGATGAGAATTAGTAACTTTCATACTATTACTTCTAACAGATTAGTAGATACGACGCAATTCTTTGTTCCAGAAGGCATCGTGACAGTAGCAATAACATTTAAAACATGACGTTTATTTTGCAGTTTATATCTCACCCACACTCAAATCAAATCGGTAAATGGACACTCAAATAGCTAAATCGTACGTCGGTGAGACACAATGGCATATTGATGACTAATAAGTGTGACATTGGTATATGTCCGGTGATTCTACTGACAAATGATTTTAGCTAGTTACCCAACATAAAACTTTTGATTGGAAATGATCCTTCTGAATCTATAAACGAAGATTACACAGCCACAAGTTATGACCTTCTAAACAAATTAACTAATTATTAGTCTGGACGATCTCAAGGATCTTCCACAATCGCACAGCCACACAAAAAAAGAAAAATTGTCTGTACTTTTCATGCTACATATGTTATCTTTAGTATTATTGCCTCCTGATCACGAATCCGGTGTCAGAATTGAGCTATCACATCACAGGAATTTCCTAACCTCAAGAAACAGGTAAAAAAGCAAAAATTCATGAAAAAGTGCTAGGAAAAATTCATTTTTTTTTCTATACCTATTCAAATATTCATTTATATAGTTAAGACCCCGCCCAACGTGAATCTGCGGTCAGAGTTAATGATTCTTTTTCTAACCTCAAAAAAACGTGTCAATTAAGGTCAGATATCACGAATTTTCAAACAATAACAGATTCGCGCCAAATTTGGTATACGGGGGTTTTCTGGCTCGCTAATCACGAATTCGAGGTTAATGTTGCAAAATTCAAGATGGCGGATCCAAGAAGGCCGATCAAATTTTCAAAAAATAACAGAATTGCAGCAAATTTGGTATACGGGGGTTTTCGGGGTCGCTGATTACGTATTCGAGGTCAGAATTGCGAAATTAATTTTGTAATATTNACATTCAAATAGCTAAATCGTACGTCGGTGAGACACAATGGCATATTGATGACTAATAAGTGTGACATTGGTATATGTCCGGTGATTCTACTGACAAATTATTTTAGCTAGTTACCCAACATAAAACTTTTGATTGGAAATGATCCTTCTGAATCTATAAACGAAGATTACACAGCCACAAGTTATGACCTTCTAAACAAATTAACTAATTATTAGTCTGGACGATCCCGAGGATCTTCCACAATCGCACAGCCACACAAAAAAAGAAAAATTGTCTGTACTTTTCATGCGACATATGTTATCTTTAGTATTTTTGCCTCCTGATCACGAATCCGGTGTCAGAATTGAGCTATCACATCACAGGAATTTCCTAACCCCAAAAAACAGGTAAAAAAGCAAAAATTCATGAAAAAGTGCTAGGAAAAATACATTTTTTTTTCTATACCTATTCAAATATTCATTTATATAGTTAAGACCCCGCCCAACGCGAATCTGCGGTCACAGTTAATGATTCTTTTTCTAACCTCAGAAAAACGGGTCAATTAAGGTCAGATATCACGAATTTTCAAACAAAAACAGATTCGCGCCAAATTTGGTATACGGGGGTTTTCTGGCTCGCTGATCACGAATTCGAGGTCAATTTTGCAAAATTCAAGATGGCGGATCCAAGAAGGCCGACCAAATTTTTAAAAAATAACAGAATCGCAGAAAATCTGGTATACGGGGGTTTTCTGAGTCACTGACTACGGATCCAAGGTCAATTTTGCAATATTCAAGATGGCGGATCCAAAATGGCCGACAAAATTTTCAAATAATAACAGAATAGCAGCAAATTTGGTATACGGGGGTTTTCGGGGTCGCTGATTACGTATTCGAGGTCAGAATTGTGAAATTTATTTTGTAATATTTTACTTTATAATATGATTGGGTAATCATATGTTAACCTACTTTTTTCCGTCTATATCTTGTTCTTTTCTCTGTAAAAGATCTATTCTCGGGTTGAATTTTGTAAATCTGACCTCGAACTCGTGATCAGCGATCCCGAAAACCCCTTTATACCAAATTTGATGCGAATCTGTTATTTTTGAAAATTTGGTCGTCCATCTTGAATTCTGTAAAATTGACCTCGAATTCGTGATCAGCGAGCCAGAAAACCCCCGTATACCAAATTTGGCGCAAATCTGTTATTGTTTGATTCGTGATGTCTGACCTTTATTGACCCGTTTTTTGAGGTTAGAAAAAGAATCAATCATGGGCGGGGTCTTAACTATATAAATGAACATTTGAATATAGAAAAAAAATTGTTTGTATTTTTCCTATCACTTTTTCATGAATTTTTGCTATTTTTTACCTGTTTTTTAAGGTTAGGAAATTTCTGTGATGTGATAGCTCAATTCTGACACCGGACAACTTTTCTTTTTTTGTGTGGCTGTGTTTTTAACATTGAATCAAATGTGTTTTTGGCAGTTGAAGCCTTTATACCTTTTCCAATTTTGAATCGTCAGTTTTTGTTTGAAGTTTACGTGTAGGTACGTAATTATTATGAGGAAATTGTGTTCTACCAAATTTGAGGTCAATATCTTCAATGGTTTTTGTGGTTTTTGAGTAACTTTATTTACTTTACTATTTTTATTATTTAGTATTTGGTGTGTTCAAATAAATGCATTATTGATTCAAGGTTATATTGTTACCTGAGTAGAATGTGACGGACTGATTGNAATAACAGAATTGCAGCAAATTTGGTATACGGGGGTTTTCGGGGTCGCTGATTACGTATTCGAGGTCAGAATTGCGAAATTTATTTTGTAATATTTTACTTTATAATCTGATTGGGTTATCATGTGTTAACCTACTTTTTTCCGTCTATATCTTGTTCTTTTCTCTGTAAAAGATCTATTCACGGGTTGAATTTTGTAAATCTGACCTCGACTTCGTGATCAGCGATCCCGAAAACTCCCTTATACCAAATTTGATGCGAATCTGTTATTTTTTGAAAATTTGGTCGTCCATCTTGGATCCGCCATCTTGAATTTTGCAAAATTGACCTCGGATCTGTGATCAGCTACCCCGAAAACCCCCGTATACCAAATTTAGCGCCAATTTGTTATTTTTTGAAAATTCGTGATATCTGACTTTAATTGACCCGTTTTTTGAGGTTACAAAAAGAACCATCAATTCTGACCGCTAATTCACATTCGGCGGAGTCTTAACTATATAAATGAACATTTGAATATAGAAAAATTTGTTTGTATTTTTCCTATCACTTTTTCATGAATTTTTGCTATTTTTTACCTGTTTTCTGAGGTTAGGAAATTTCTATGATGTGATAGCTCAATTCTGACACCGGTGTGATCAGGAGGCAAAAATACTACAGATAACATATGTCGCATGAAAAGTACGGACAACTTTTCTTTTTTTTGTGTGGCTGTGTTTTTAACATTGAATCAAATGGTTTTTTTGTCAGTTGAAGCCTTTATACCTTTTCCAATTTTGAATCGTCAGTTTTTGTTTGAAGTTTACGTGTAGGTACGTAATTATTATGAGGAAATTGTGTTCTACCAAATTTGAGGTCAATATCTTCAATGGTTTTTGTGGTTTTTGAGTAACTTTATTTACTTTACTATTTTTATTATTTAGTATTTGGTGTGTTCAAATAAATGCATTATTGATTCAAGGTTATATTGTTACCTGAGTAGAATGTGACGGACTGATTGAATTGTTGTTGATAATTACCTATAGACATCATTTGTACAAGAAGTTCTAAGCCTACGAAAAGTACAGCTACCGCGGCTGTTAAGCCGCTAACAAATGTCGCCAGTACTGGGGTTCCTGTGCTTGGCCATACTTGCGAAAATACTCTGAAAGATAAATAAGAAATGAGTATATACGAATGCACAGTAATAATTAAGCAGTTATGAGATTGACACTAAAATGGCAATAACGTGTTTTCTCAGTACACTATACAGGCCGCAACATGTTTTCGACAACGAAGAAACTATTATAAACCTCGTTGAGGAAGATTCAAGGCGCAGTACTCGCGATGTTGGCAGAGAGGTTGGTGTATCTAACAATACTGTGTGGCATGTACTACACGAACAAACTCTATCATGTAGAAAGGGTTCAGGTATTAAATAAAAATGATTTTGAGCCCCGTGTGGAATTTTGCTAGTGGTTTCGTCATCAAATAGCACAAGATCCGGATTTTACAAGCAAGATGCTTTTTACAGATGAATATTGTTTTACTAGAGACGCCATATTAAATTTTCACAACATTCACTGTTGGTGTGATACAAATCTTCACGTTGTACAGAGATCTCTGTTCCAGCAACAGGACGAAATGGCCTGTTACGTTGGCCAGCACGAAGTTCGGATACGAACCACCTGAACATTTTTATTTGGGGATGTATGAAACGCTTCTTGTCGATGCAGCAGATCTTCAACAGCGTATTCTTGGTGTAACTAATGAAATTGGACAAATGCCGAGAGTATGTGCACGTATGCGCACTAATTTTGTTCGTCACTTGGAATGTTTCATCAACTTACACATTTTCTTCTTTGAGAGTTTGATCAAAGGAAATATAACGTGTCCAATTGACGATGAAAAACTGTTTTTGTTTGCGAACTTATCCTACCTGCTTGCCCCTATTCACGAGCTAAAAGTTCCTTAGAGCTTGTGGTAAATTTTTTTGAGCGCCTTTAATTCAAAGTCTGAATAATGTGAACTGATTTATAAAGAAATCATCAATGAAAAAAATATAGGTAAATTAATTACCTTTAATGTCCGTATAATTTAGTTCTTTTTTACTTTTTCAAAATGATAAGACTAATAATAAATAATTCGACTATTAATTCACCTCTTCGCTGTTATTTTATGTTGTTCCACTTAGTTCATTACCTAAATATTAGTCCATCTTGAGCCATGGCGTAGATGATCCTCGGCATGGGGAACATCGAGCCGAACATGCTGACCGTCAGGCCCGCCAGCGCGCCAACGGCCACGATGTATTTACAATTATAAGCGCCCACCTGCCCAAACATCTCCACCAGCGCCGAATCCGCAACCACGTCGCTATACGGAACTGAAAAATAAACCATATTATAACTCGATATAACGCTGATAACTCATCTTTATAATGTATCACGAGCGCCTCTCTACAAAGAAAAATCATTGGTCATTTTGAAGTACGGCGGATAACGGCGAGCAAACTGTGGGTTGGTATTTACATTTTTTATGTGTTTGTCTGTATATGAAACAGACGTTACTTCACTTGATTATGATTATTTTCCTTATAAAATTAAATGTGACAAATTAATTGTTGAAGTTAATGCTGAAATTCTATAAAAACCAACGTCGTCTTTTATATTTTTTGGGGTACTAGCGACAGAGTAAGTTAAAAGAAAAAGGGAGTCCTGACTAAAAAAATAATTTGAAGTCAGTTAATTTTTGACCCAATATTTTTCTCAAGAAATTTGTCAAGTAATAAATGGCAGGTAAAGAAAATACAAAAAAGTTTCAAAAACAAATAAGTTGAACGAACCGTAAATATACCCGGTGTCCAAAAAGTCTGGAAACACCTGAATAATTTCCCAGGTAACTTATTTTTGAAAAATCTTAAGGTCATTCTTATAGAAACTTTTGACGAGGAATTCAATGGTGACCTTGGATTTGACCTTGACTATGACCTTGAAGGTTAGTTTAAGGTCATTTCATTTTTTTAAATAGAAACCCCCTTTTCCAACGTCGGCAATCGAAAGAGCGGGAAATTTTATGTCCAAAATATCTAAGGTCATAAATAAGGGTTGACCTTGAAGGTCATTCAAAGGTTATTTAAATTTGAGGGCTGGATAGTTTATGAAAATAGCACAAAGCTCACTTCATTTATTTTGTTTAACTGCAATTAGTGGTGATCTCAAACTCCACCTTCTTGGTGTCTCTCAAGGTCATTTCAAGGTCAATTTTTCTTTTCACGATAATAAAGCACCCCAAACGTGAGAGGCAAGGGGACTCACGATAATAAAGCACCCCAAAGAGAACGTCCACGCGTCGTTGTTCCTGGGTAACGGTAAAAGTAAAAGTATGAAAACTTCCGCTCTTTTGGTTGCCGACGTCACATAAGGGGATTTTCAGTAAAAAAAAGTTGACCTTGAAATTACCTTGAAGGACACCAAGAAGGTCGAGTTTGAGGTCGCCATTAATTGCAATTAAACAAAATAACTAAATTGAGCTTTGTACTATTTTCATCAACTGCGCTCTTCGGAGATATCCAGCCCTCAAAAAATAACCTTTGAATGACCTTCAAGGTCAACCCTGATTTATGACCTTAGAGTTTTTGGACGTAAAATTTCTCGCTCTTTCGATTGCCGACGTCGAAAAAGGGGGGTTTCCATTTCAAAACCTTCAAGGCCATCGTCAAGGTCAAATCCAAGGCCACCATTGAATTCCTCGTCAAAAGTTACTATAAGAATGACCATAACATTTTTCAAAAATAATTTACCTGGGAAATTATTCAGCTGTTTCAAGAATTTTTCGACACCCTGTATGTGTCTCTAACGTTTGGAATGAAATAGCTTTTTCCAAAATGTTCAAAAGTTTGGGAAAAATGCTGAGAGGAACCAATTAAATTATAATAATAGTTGTTTATTTAATTAGTACAAATAAAGTACCGGATCTAATGCCGCGGTTTGTATTTCTACTTTATTGCCAAGTTAAACACATGATTTTTTCGTCGATCAATTTTAATTTTAGCATAAGAGCAAACAAAGCTATTTATTTTAGATTATTAAAATTGTATGATACTTCTTTCATGAATAATAATAATTTCATCAGGTCTTGGTGGTTGCTATGAGACGAGCATTATTAAGTAAATAACTTAGGTACACATTAATCGCCATATTGTTTCTATTTAAATATAGAAATAACTATTATTTGAGATGGAAGCAAAGCAAATAGTGTGTAAATTATTACCAGAAAAACCTATAATCAATTAATTGATTATCGGGTTGAGAATAACATTCTCTTTTTCAGAAAATGTACCTACTATTGGTGTATATTTTTCTGAATTAAGCAAAAGTATGAAATTTTCTTCATTATGGTCAATATGTGCGATCCTCGGAGCTACTATGAATGTCTACAACATCGATATTGGAACGTATCTAAAATTAAAAACATTCTTGAAACGGTCATCGGATGGATATACTGTTAAAAAATCACGTGATTTAGAAAATGAACTAATTAAAAAATGTTTAATAGAGGCCCCTGATGATACTTACTTAGGTACAAAGGATATTATAAACAAAATAGCTCAATACCTATAGATTATTGAGTTTAACCTAACTTGAAACTTGACCTGAATTAACTAAACCATTTCAGGCTTCACAAATCCAAAACATCATTCTAGTTTATGGCAAAATTTTGATGCGAAAATAAATATTTTCAGTGCGTAACACATTTTTCTGCAAATTTGTGAAAAATATATGTCCTAAAACCAAATCCGAATACGAATACCTAACATAGTAACTGCGATGTAGTAATAAATTCACCTAAAGCTTAAATGTGTCTATATGTGATATATGGAATTTGTAATAATCGACAGTCGATATATTTCATATTTACATTAATTTACATACCTATAGTATCCATATTTCAGTAACATACATTTGAACATTGAAACAATACAAAATTATCCAAATATTATGTTTTAAAATTTTTATGATTTATACATATTTCGATGATCAAATTTAAGACTATTAATTTCTAAAACTGGAGTCCCCTATTGGGTATACATATATTAAAAGTCAGTAAAAATTACCAAAGTTTGCTAATAAAAATAAAAACTATCGTCTCTCAGATTTTTGGGCCAATTGAAAAAAATGGAATAGTCTGTGACACAGATAGCGGTGTAATTTTTATAAATAAAAATATATTTATAGGTGTTTTTTTAGTCGCTTTGTACAATTTTACAAAGTAACAGCCCCTTCTCTACAAATAAAATATCTTATAAATTTTTAAGTGGGAGGTATGATTTTCGAGATAATTGTAATTTTTGATATCCATGCAGTAAAAGGCAAGACATTACTGCACAAATTAATTAATAGGCTTTGAATACAGCATAAAAAATTGTTTCAAATAAATGAGAGATCAGGTAGGTAACGTCTATAAAATTTATTCTGTTCCAAACCAAGATTAAAAAGTATTTCCTGAACTTAAACCAAACACAAATTGCACATTGGCTAAATCATCGAAAGTAGAATTATTTATATTTAGAACAGAATTAGTCGTGCAATATTCATAGCCTACTAATTAATTTGTGAACTAATCTCTTGCTTTTTAGTGCTTATATATCGTAAAATGATATTATCTCGAAAATTAAAGGTTTTATTTGTAGATAAAAGACTGTTATTTGGAAAAATTGTACAAGGTTATTACAACGAACCCTCTAGCCATATTTACACTACTGATTATTTTATATTTTCAATATTACTGAATTATATCCGGATTCGACTTGTACTATAATTGCAAGTTTGAAGTTTTTATATCAAACCGTTTCAGAGTTATTAAAGAATTTTAACTTTGATTTATATTATTTTTATATGATTATACTTACATTTTATTTAAATAATTAGCTTTGCTTTGCTATACTTTGGTAAATAGACCCAACTGACTAAAATTTTAAGAAAATGTTTATAAATCTGCATGCTTACGCTGTGTGTTGCAATATATAATTACGGACCACCGTGTATATTCATCAATCATTTCTAGAGTACATGATGTTGATGAATCATTTACCTCGCATTGAAAACAATTGTACAAGTAAGGGGTAAAGTGTATAATAAATAATCTTGTTTGTCTTCATTCAGAAAATGATAACTCGGGAAAAATGTGATTTTCAAGGGAATGTTGTTTTTTAAAACAAAAATGTTGTTAAACAACATTTTTGTAATATTAAGAATGAAATCTTTACATCAATGTGGTTTTTAGTAATTTATACGCTAGAATTTAAAATTTACGGAATATATTTTTTTAAGAGACGAAAAAATGACATTTAAATCCCTTGCTTTTTGAAGTTATCTCGCTGCGGTTTTTTAAAACCATTAAACTTTAGACTCACTTAAGGGCGTAACAGGGTAATAATTTTCTTGTTCGATTTTTATCAAACTGATCTCAAAAGATAGAGTCCACCAAGCTCTATTTAAGACTACAAAATCACTTTCTATCTTTAAATGCAAGGCCATCTATGAAACTAAAATATATGAAAAAAGTAAAAAAATTATAATAGCCGATTTTCATTAGAAATATTTTATTAATACTTATTCGACATTATTAAAAAACCCTGAATTTACAATTTAGTTAAAAGGAAAAAGAGTATTGACGAAATTTACAATTTCTACAATTAAGTAATAATAATAACAGCCCAAAATATTTAGATATTATGTTCTATCAAATCTCCGAGGATCAGCTTTACCTAATGCGTCTCTAAAACTGGCTTTCTATTATTCATAACTTTTCGGGGGGTTGTAGGCGTTATTTTAGCGCAAGATTACCTAATCCGGTATTTCATTAATTTGTACCTATTTTTTGGTTCCACTTTGTAGACATCACTCTTTAGAAACCTCCATAAAAAGTAGCCTAAGGGAGTAAGATCAGATAACCTCATCAGTTAATTAATAATATAGCTGTTTTTTCCAATTCACCTTGGTGTAAAGTTGTGATTTGATCAATTCCGTGTTATCATGCATTGTTGATAGGAGCTCCATCAAGTTGAAATAAGCATGTATTTCAGATTGATGTATGGAATAAGGGGTAAGTTGTCGCTTGGTCTGAGAATAAATTATAAAAAAATGGGTTCAAAAACTCTTCATGGTTTTCAAAAGCAACATTCCTGCCTCAGACTTGAAGGGGCGTAATTTATATGGATGTAAGCATCGCGAAATTGTATCCTTGGGTATATTTAAAATTGTGTACAATCTCTTTAGGCTACACTGAATTTTCTGCACATATAACATGAACGTTTTTCTTATTTGCTGCACAAATTGCCAGCTCTACTGGATTAAAATTTTTTGTCTATTCCTGATCGATCTGGCTGTCGATTAGTAAATTCTGTAGCAACTTCCCAATCCCATGCTGTTTGAGAATTATCACAAACTGATATAACAATTGTTTGAGTTGTCAGTGTTACGAGAAACAACTACTCCGAGAGCTATATGCCCCTACCGGCATTGAATTATACTCGCAACACCTAGTGCAACAGTTAGGATCGTTTATCAGTTTAACCCACCAGGCACAGACCGGTTTCGGACTTATTAGTCCTCATCAGTGTGTCATAGGTGCGACAACCGATAAACGACCCAGCTGTTCTTCGTCGTATCGTCACGACAAGGGAATACATTGTACGTGGGAGCGCAAATGGCTCCATCTGTCGTGCGGACTTCCTACTGTGCCATTCAAATGGCTACAGTAGGAAGCGACCTGCTATATTGCAGGTACTTTGTTGCACGACTGCCGCCCACAGAGGGCGTAACACAATGTTTGAGTTGTCGGTGTTACGGTAGGGGCATATAGCTCTCGGAGTAGTAGTTTCTCGTAACACTGACAACTCAAACATTGTGTTACGCCCTCTGTGGGTGGCAGTCGTGCAACAAAGTACCTGCAATATAGCAGGCAGATGGAGCTATTTACGCTCCCGCGTACAATGACATAACAATTTCCACATTTTCCGCAATTGTAAGCATTTCAATCGATATACAATATGATAGGATACAAATAATCAGATAGAATACCAACATATTTAGTTGACAACTATTCTGATATTTACAAAATTGTCTTTTAATAGAAACAAGGGAATCAGAGCATGATTATTAAAACGAGAAATTTGAAAGAAATTATTTTAATCGATACTCCATTTCATCGTAGATGGTTTTTCATTTAAAGATGGAAAGTTATTTTGTGGTCTTAAATAGACCTTCGCGATCTCTATCTATTGAGACCACTTTAATTTAAAATTTACACACACAGTACAGATGTAAACAGTCATATTTAATCCAATGACATGCATGGAAACTTACCAATTAATGTTAACATCATAGAACTAGTAACGTACGCTATGAGGATAATAATTAAACTCGTCACTATGGCTAGGGGAATAGACTTTTTGGGTGTGGCTGCTTCTTCGCCGGTCGTGGCTATGATATCGAAACCAATAAAGGCATAGAAGCACGTCGCAGCACCAGTGAAAACCTGTAAAAGGAATAAATCGGTTGAAAAATCTAATACATTCTGGGTAATAAAACATGCAGTAAGTAATAAGGATTGTGGGAGAACGATAAAACGGGAAGAATGGCATATATCGAAAATGAAATAACTGCTTTTATGGTATCACTTCGTCTTTGTCTTACTGAAACCTCTAAAGGTTGCTGTTCCTTCAGATGTGATAAATCTACGTATATTCGGTACCAATGTCCAAAAATTTTTGAGGAATGGTGAAATTATTTCGTATTTATTGCCATCAAATAAGCAGTGTGAAATGAAAAATTATGTGATGTGGTCAGAAGATTGCCGTTTGTTACATAATTTTTACATGTTTACTTACAAAATAAGATATTTTGAATTTTTATACGCTCAATATTGAAAAAGTATTTTGCTCCTACGCGAGAAAAGTTTGGTTTTCATTGTTACTTATACAGGGTATCCCAGAATAACGTGTACTACGGAAGACCACAGATTCGTAGACTCAAAATAGGCAGATTTAGGCCAATTCAAAGTTCGTGAAAATTTATTGAATTTTGTAAATAACTCCAATCGATTTTAATTATTTTTGGGGTGTGGACTTTCAATCTACACATCTACAAAATTAATGTATGGTGATAATATCCATTCATAATTTTTCCTCTTTCGGGCAATAATAACAACTATTTTTTATCCGATAGGTGATACCATTTGGAAGTTTTTAGACCTCTTGTAGAATTTTGATTAAATGAGGGGTTTGGGTACAAAAAATATTTTTCAAATGTCTACATTATCTTCATACCCATATTACAATACTTAACAAAGTGCTAGTAGGCACCAATTTTGTAGGTTGACTGTAATTTCAGTCTGTTCTTTAAGTCATTGTACCTGCGAATTCTTAATGAGTGTTTACTACGATAATATATACAACATGTTACTTCGATATGGATACACACACACATACAACGAATTATTTATAACATGCCTAATTTTATTGAGATAATTAGTAAAAACAATCAAATTCAATGAAAATGCTGGAGATAAAAGTAACAAAGTTGATGTTTTTACATTTAGTATAACTTATTATAAAAACTGTTCAAACTGACCACCGTTATTTCTACAACAATGGTTAATTCAGTGAAGAAAGTTAAAAGACACCCTTTACAGTTCTTGAGGGCAATTTTTTAAAACATTTATGTTAATTAGGATATGCCTACACAACTCTTCCTTAGTGTTAGAGGTGGAAGCATACACTGTTGTTTTCAGAGTGCCCCAAAGATAATAGTCGCAAGGTGTTATGTCTGGTGAACGAACAGACCAGTTAACAGGAACATTATCCCTTCTACCGATCCATCGACGAGGGAATCTTTGGTTCAGATACTTCCGAATATTTACAGTGAAATGTGGTGGAGCTCCATCATGCCTACTCCACAGCTCTGAGTAATAACAGCACACCTTCCAATAAATCGAATAAAGTGTTTTGCAAACATTCTAAATAAAATTCCCCATTCACTCTACTGGGTAGAATAATAATGCTGTCAATGCGTAGTATTTGATTGTTTTTTCTAATTATTTGAATAAAATTAGGCACATTGTAAATAACTCTAATTCATCGTCTGTGTGTATTCATATCGAAAAATGAAGTAACAGGTGGTATATCTTGTCGTCGTAAACACTCGAGAATTGTCAGACACAATGACTTAAAGATCAGACTGTAATGATAGTAAACCTTTCAAAATCAGTGCCTACTAGCACTTTGTTAAGCATTGTAATATGGGTGGCACGATAATGTAGACATTTAAAAAATATTTTTTTGTACCCAAACCCCTCATTTAATCAAAATTCTACAAAAGGCCCAAAAACTTTTAATTGGTATCACTATCAGATAAAAAATAGTTGTCATTATTGCCCGAAAGAGGAAAAAGTTATGAACTGATATTATCACCATACATGAATTTTGTAGGTGTTGTAGGTTTTAAATAACATTCTGTATAACACCAAAATGTGTAGATTGAAAGCAGAAGTCTACACCCCAAAAATAATTAAAATCGGTTAATACGTATTCGAATTATTTACAAAATTCTAAAAATTTTCACCAACTTTAAGGCCATCTAGCGTCTAAACTAAGCGATTTCGGATATAGGTGAATTAGCCTAGTCCACGTATCTGTGGTCTTCCGTTGTACACGTTATTCTGGAACACCCTGTATTTCCATTTAAATTTCATTTCATTTTAACTTCCAACACAAGATAAAACTATTTTCCTTTCGCAAACTTGTCAGTTTGTTACAAAGTACATTTATTTTGTACCCCTTGTGTACGATGAGGATTAAATGAAAAGGTGATTGTGGTGTTACTCAAAGCAGTAATTCGGCCATTACTTTTCTTGACATTCATTAATGATTTAAATATTTGATAGCCATATTGATTTGTTAATAACCGAAAAATTAGTAGGTCCGGTGATAAATATGACATCATATCGATCTCTATTTACTGAACATTTGTAATTTTCTCAAATTAAAATTACTGAAAATCATAACTTAAACGATGAAAAAAAAGTGACGTTTAGAAAATTTATTGTAAACCTTCCTAACAAATATTATTATTATGCTCCTAAAGATAAGCAAAACTTCCAACCACGCAAGCAAACTTATGAAATAATAAGTTTTCTGGGCGATAAAAATTCCAACTCGCGGTATGACGAAAAAGAGAGTAATAAAATGCAGCCAGTATGAGAAAACTTCTACGGCCAGCTGTTTCCTGGATTTTCCAGCGGTAAAAACCGCTTTAAACTACTTAGCAAAGTTTAATTGTTTAGAACTCTTAGGGTATAAAGATGCATGGAATTCATTAGAAAAACTATGCCTTAACATAACAGAAGTAATGATGATGAGCAGCTACTGTTTAGTTCAGTTTATAATATGTTTACAACTTTGTGCATTCCTTATTGATGAAGTACCTCTGTAAATTAGTATATGTTACAGTTTATGATGTAGTTATGTGCAACAATGTTTAATCATTTTAGTGAGATATCCTACGGGCTTAATAAGTTAACTTTAAACACGTCAGAGTGAATATGGAGTAAGATTCTTTATTTCTTTAACGCAAGTACTTATACAGGGTAGCCCATCGAAAACGTACCGGAAGGCATTACAGGGTAGTAATGAACTTTTCGGCAAAATCCAAAAACAGGTAAAGTTTGCTTCTGAGGGGGACAACTTTTGGCGCAAAAAGCATACCAAAATCTTCAACCCCCTAAGTGGGGGTGCCATCCCCCAATTTTTTTTAAATGGGAATGGGGGTCAAGTGGGGGGTCATTAGAAAGGGCTTTTAATTCTCTATACATCGATTCTTACTTTTTGAAATTCGATCCATTATTTTAGAAAATATGCAGCTTTGAAAATACGAACAATATTTTTGACGAGAAATGCGAAAATCGATTTAATTGTACTTCAAAACTTACGGTATTAGCTTGGTAAATTCCTTCAAAATAATTCGCTGTTTTTTTTCTGATTTGCGAATTCTTTAGCCTGATTTTGGTGAGCAAAAAATTGTCCGCTTTTTGTTTCGTATTTAGATAGGCCACAAGAAGTTGCTAGATAACTGTTTTGTGACTTGTAGTTGAAGAGTGCCAATACTGCCGAGTCTTTTAAATTGATTAATTATGGTGTACTCACTTCCAGAAAGAGTAGAAATTATTGAGCTTTTTTTCAAAAACAATGAATGCGGAAATCGGGTCGCCGAACTGTTCAACCAACGGCATCCTGAGAAACATGCGTCTGGAAAAATTGTTCGCGAATTGGTGGCCAAATTTCGCAAAACTGGCTCCGTTCATAACAAAAAGAGGCAGGTTGAAAATCCGGTACTAAATGAACCTACGGAAATAGCGGTATTGGGGCAAGTGGCAATGGATAGTACGCTGAGTACAATGCAATTGGCTACTGCGACAGGAGTGAGTCGTACAAGTGTCCAACGAATATTAAAAAAATACAAATTCCATCCTTATAAGATTCGGCTAGTGCAAGAGCTAAATGAAGACGATTTTGATCGTCGTTTGCAATTTTGCGAAATAATGACTGAACGATAAACGATAATTTCCTCTTTAATGTGTGTTTTTCGGACGAGTGTACTGTACGTTCTTCTTGAATGGTTTAGTGAATCGCCATAATTGTCGTTACTGGGCTGATACCAATCCAAGGATTTTCCATGAGACACACTCCCAACACCCATAGAAGTTGAATGTATGGGCAGGTATTTTTGGAAATTCCATTGTAGGTCCTTTTTTCCTTCCTGGAAATTTGACAGGCGATATGTACTTGGATTTACTACAAAATGTCATCGACCCAGCTCTAACAAATATCATAGAGGACGACCCTGCTTACAATGAACACGAACTGATTTTCCAGCAGGACGGAGCTCCTCCACATTACTCGCTCAATGTGCGCAATTACCTAAATGAGACGTTTCCAGGACGCTGGATAGAACGAAGAGGTGCAATTGTGTCGCCCCCTCGGTCACCCGACTTAAATCCTTTAGATTTCTTTCTTTGGGGGCACATTAAAAGCAAAGTTTACAGCACTCCACCTGATACCTTGGAAGATCTGCGAGGACGAATCATTAATGTATGTCGTGAAGTAGTAACACCGCAAGTGCTCTAGAATGTTCGACAACGGTTTGAAGACAACTTGTATCATTGTATGCAAGTTGGCGGACAACATTTTCAGCATTTACTTGACTAATACCGTAAGTTTTGAAGTAAAATTAAATCGATTTTCGCATTTCTCGTCAAAAATATTGTTCGTATTTTCAAAGCTGCATATTTTCTAAAATAATAAATCTATTTTCAAAAAGTAAGAATCGTATAGAGAATTAAAATCCCTTTCTATTGATCCCCCACTTGACCCCCATTCCCATTTGAAAAAATTTAGGGGATAGCACCCCCACTTAGGGGATTGAAGATTTTGGTATGCTTTTTGAGCCAAAAGTTGTCCCCCTCAGAAAAAAAATTTGACCTGTTTTTGGATTTTGCCGAAAAATTCTTTACTACCCTGCAATGCCTTGCGGTACGTTTTCGATGGGCTACCCTGTATATCTATAATGGAATAAACTAGTTTTTATCGCGATTATACAATCAAACTTACATTTTGTTACTTAATTGAAAGTAATATCCATTGTTCCCCAGGGTGTTACTTTACTCCACTACAGAACCTATAGGTATCTATTAGTTCCGTCACTTTCTTGGAATTAACCGCATTCGACACCCGAGATACATACAAAGACATTGGCGGAAAATTTAATAGCCAACCCCTGTCGCTGTAAATTGTTACAGTAGTTCCGATAACAGAACTTTATTGGCTTATTCTTCTCTTGGAATTCTATCTCAACAAATATCATACGAACTATAAAAGTCTATATGCAACTGTATGAGTGTATACTCATATTTACAATATTATTTGTTTATTATGTATTTAATTCAAGCAATGGGGTTGAAACTCAATTATAGGGTGGGTACATGAAAAATGAACCAACAATAAAAGTTTAAATAAATATAATCAAAACAGTGAATAATATTAAATACATGAGTACAATAAGGAATGAATAAAAAACAGCACACAAATTTTGACAAACAAAGAATGTAAAAGGATGTAAAAGCGAAAACAACTCAATTATGAGAGTAGAAAAATCTTTTAATGTCTGCCAAAGAATATTCGAATATATCTGGAATATTCTCAATGTCAACATAATAAAATATTACTGCGAGAAGGAGAAATAACAAACAATATGTACTAGATTCGAATATGTATATTCGATTCGATTTAGAAGATTCGAATATGTCCGGAATATTCTCAATGTCAACATAATATAATATTACTGCGAGAAGGAGAAATAACAAACAATATGTACCAGATTTAGCATGTAGTATAAAATCTTTATAAATAATGTGCGAAGTAAGCACAATACAATCAATATTGAAGTTAACAATTATATGAGAACATTACAGTGTATATTATTATCTATCTTCTAATAAAATCTATACAAAAATAAGTCTTATGAAAATGTACTAACTAAGTCTCAGATCTAATACATGGTCACTTAATCTGTAGCAAACCATATAGAATTAAGTTATAGAGATGACGCTGGCGTAAAATTTTAAATCATCAGCGTGTAGTAAAAGCCAACACGCGATACAATTTATGAGTCAGTTTTAGGAATAGGTGGGGCCCAATTACACAGGACCACAAAAAAATGAGTGGAGTGTTCCTTGAATCAGACTAATATGTTTTTTGGGTCGCTGAAACCGAATCCGAAACCTGTTTTGCCCCATCACGTCAGCGTTTTTTCTAACCTCAAAAAACAGCTTGAAACTATGAAACCCAACAATATCAACCCTTAAACCATATAACCCTGTACTTTCATAACTCAATAACCTTGACATCGATAACCTATAACTTTAAAACCGATAACCTGAAAATCTATGACTTCAAAACTAATAAATCTCAAATCCCAATAAACTGCAAACACAAAATGAGCAAAATTGAAAACAAAAAACTTACAAGCTAAACTCAAACCTCAATCTCGGAGGGTTTTAACTTCATAATTCTACACCTCCATATTATTTAACTAGAGTTTCGGAGTCAATTTAGTAATGGGCAGTGTCTTTCAAATTTTGTTATGTAGGTATCCGCGTTGCCCTGAATCTCGGGTTACGCTGTCGTGTGCAAATTAATCTTTGACGTTTATTTTAATCTGACGTGTCATCGTTATTTTGTTTGTTTTTCTTTTTTATTGTTATTAAAAACCTTCCTAGAAAGTTCTGATGTTTTCCTATTCTCCTAAATTAAGTCTCTCATTGAGTGAGAGTGTAACACCCTGTACAATCAACCCCTGGATTACCCTCTACGTGAGCATTGGACGGTAAGGTTCTGAAATTCATCCTCTAAATGAGCAATATCTCACGTATCATAATTAAAGTGTAAATGTCAATTTATGAGCTCCGTTTCGCAAATTCAGATAGATAAATATTTAAATAACCCCTCAGGTTAGAAGCGTACGGGAAAAAATGAACATTAAAATTATTTGCAGTATCATTGATGAGACAATAAAAAACAGTGCACCAAGTATCGAACTCTGAGGTACGCCTGGTGTTTGATTTATATTTGAAATCACGGTACTGTACAAATTGAACGTGATGGAAAATATATTATTTATGTGTAAGTAATTAAAAATTACAGGTGACAAAATAATCAGACTTGCATTTTTATCAAATGCTTTGGAGAAATTTGTGTAGATAACATTTATCTGACCATTTCGTACAAGGTTCTAGCAATAAACTGGATAGCATGTGTATGTAAATATTTTTATCTATATTTGTAGAATATGTTACTATTTTTTAGAATTTAATTCAGTAGTTGTCAATTGGCGTATAACTTAGGAATAAATTTATTATTCAAAAAAAGATTAGACTTTTGAGAAGAAAACCAATTTTGAAGGTGCCCCATTTTTAGAGGCACTTTAATTTTGATGAGAAGTTTTTTTTTGTAGTGAAAAATAAGTTGATTTAACTCGTTTTAATTTGGTCCCAGGAATGTGTGGTTCTAATCTTTTTGAGACATCTCTGACGTAAACCCGTAAATATCTCAACTATACAGTTTAAAGAAATAATCTTTCAATAAAAAGGACCAAATTTTGGGGACGGTCCCTTTGCAAATGGTCCCGCAATTAATCTTACCCCCGGCCAGCCTTTGGGTAAGAATCCCTCGTGTTTGGTCCAGTTGTCCGTGTTTACGTAGAAAAGGCCCGCAGTCATAACGAACACCCACACAGCCAAATTGATGACGTTCAATACGTTGTTGAAAATGAGAGACTTTTTCACGCCAGCCGCCAGCAGCAGCATCATCAGCAGAGTTATTATGAAGGCCAGGAAGTCGGGGTCCCATCCTGAAAATAATTATCCTTCATTATTAACCCCGAAAGGCAGGAAGGGATCTCTTGTGAGATAGGCTTAGAAACGCCAACGCACATTTTTTCGCTATATAGGGTGAAAAAGAAACAGAATAAAGTGATTACGTCATTCTCAATTATAATATCGACAAGATTATGGTTCCTGTGAGGTATGCGTTTGAATTTGTGTAAAACCACTCCTGCTGTAAAGTAGTCTGACTTTATTTATAGACACTGCCAGTGGCACAAGTTTCGTAAAGATTTTGAACTTAAATCTGAAGGGGGAAGAAATTCTAGTAAAAGAATTTACGGGCTATTAATATCTTCATTCAACCAATATTTTTGTTTATTTATCAACTGGTTATTTCCCTTCTATTTAACTAATGTATTTATATTACTGCTTGAATAAACATTGAAAGAAGTAGATCGTTATTCCACTCAGTTCTGAGAGATTGTCAAAAGAAATATTCTAAAAAATGCCTTTGATGCTATTCTTGACTTAATTTAATGTGGTCTGAAAAAACTGCAAAAAGGAAAATATACCTGTTTGAATCTACAAAACTAGAAAAATACTGATGGTTGTTTTGAAATACAAAAATATTTGCTGGATGTATATTTATTTACGCTAGAGATATTTAACCACTCTGTTATACAGCATTATTTACAGAAATGTAAATATTTCAGCTCTGTTAATTTCCAATTTACAACCAATGCATTTCAGCTGTTGGTAGTTTTTTGTTTGAAGATTACACATTGGAATTACTTTGCTTTATTGAAAGAGGTTTAATTATGTATTACATCAAAGCAATTTTAATGTCTCTACTGGAATTTGCATTTATATTTATATGTTACACAGGCTGTTACAAAATTCGCGGACACGGACTGTGGGATCATATTAAGCTAGGTGATAAAAAAGTGTCTTTATGATTTTTCAATCAGACCAGTATTTTTCGAGATATAGGAGTACCTACCAAATATCCAAAAATAATAAAAATATAAATTATTAATTATAATTATAAATTTTAATTTTCAATCATTAGATAAACAATTACGACAAATGAGTTACAACAGACTTAAATACATTGTGCTACTGCTCTAATGGAGTTGCGTATCACCTCTGGCGTTATTTGCTGTATTGATTGCAATAGGCGGTTCTGCAATTCATTCAAATTTGCCACTGGTGTTCTGAACGCCAACGTTTTTAAGAAGCCCCAAAATAAAAAATCACATGGCGTTAGGTTTGGAGACCGAGGTGGCTAAGCAAAAGGACCGCCTCTGCCAAGTCAATCGCACTGCTTCAAATGCACGATTATTTGAAGCTCCGAGAGCCATCAGCATATTCACGATTTAAATAATTGTGGCCTATTATTTTACAGTCTGTATTGGTACTTTTACTGTACTCTAACGATGTCAAAGTATTGATAAATGCTCTCTGAATTATCATTAATTGTTATAGAGCTGTCTGTTTCAAACAATACAACTAATAACGTCAGAGATGGTAGGTACGCAACTTCGTTCGAGCTGTAGCACAATGTGCTGAAGCATGTTTAGCAGCAGATGGTGGAAATTTTGAACAATTTGTTTGTTACCTATAATTGTTTATCAAATGATTAAAAATTGAAAATTTTTATTATTTTTGAATATTTAAAACTGTCGTATCTCGAAAAATATCGGTCTGATTGAAAAATGATAGAGAATTTTTTTTATGACCTTATATATACATATATTTCGTCAGTAAGAAAAATATTTGATAAATCTGAATTACGTGTATGAAATAAATATCTCATTTCTATAATATAATGCCCAGGATGTGCGATTTAGATTTTTACTCAAAGCAACTTCAAAGACAAGCTAAGCATATTGTAGGAAACAACTACATTGCAGACTAAAGCAGTATCATTTCATATATTTTTAGCGTTCCTAGATGTTGATGTCAAAGAGCATACATGACTTCATCAAGGCTAATATTAAAAACGTATATTTAAGAAGGTTTAGATTTTTCGTAGTATATGGAGTAAGTTACGATTTAATTTGACTGTAAATACTAATATATTTCTTCTTTCTTTAAACTATGTACCGTCTTAGCAGGAATTAAGTATCTTTCGCCATTCCCAATCAACACAAGAAATTTGATAATTTCTTGTTTTCTTTTGCGCAAGTTGTTTGTGATATATCAAATTGGTAACACTGGGAACAATTTAATTTTATATTTGAAATAAATAATGTAAATGGAGTAATTCTTCAGGCAATTCGAACGATACTCGGAAATACGTTTTACTTTATGAAGGTGATAAATCCACTTTTATAGTTTAAAACCTTTTTATTGTGAAATAAACTTTGAATAACTCCAAATGTTCCCATTTACCAAGTTAACCAATAAATACAGGATGTTACTATTTTGAAAATTTGTATTGTTAATAAAGGAAATATTTACGTTATTTACTTGTTATAATAATACTAATTATTATTACTATTACTTTTTTAATTGCCAAGTGATTTTTTTATATTTATAATTTTATAAAAAAAAACAATTTGGAAATTATTGATGCATTAAAAAAAATAATTTGCCTAACCTCTAGCTAAAACCTATACTAATCTTTTTACAAATATTCTTATTTAACTCATTGTTACAAGCCTAGTTTGAGTTCATTCCTACTCTTCTTTGGGCCACCCGGTATCTTGTTTCGCTCTGTACTTATTTGTGCCGCCTGGGTATCGACACCTATCTTATTTTGGATTTGAACTTGGAGATAATTTTCTTTTAGGGTTTCTCTCTTTTTTGCTAACTTTCTTGACTGGTTTGTACTTTTCCTCACCTCCCTTAAGTTGCAATGGGTGTATTCAGATTAAACTTGTTTGTTTAATAGTAGGGTAACAAGGCGGGTTCTGGACCAGATGGGCTTCCGGTGTGTTGGATGGCGGGTCCATCCGAAGGGGTCCAAAGAATGATGATGTGGGGGTGGAGGGTGTGTAAGAGGTGCGTAGAAGAGGTGGTGGTGTGCAGCCTTTGGTATATTTGAAGGTCAGGAAGAGTTGTGATGTGTCTGCACATATGACGTAATGAGTGAGGAGGGGGGCGCTCGGTGCATGTAGGAGTGCAGGAAGTCGCGCGCGGGTTATCTGAAGAGGAAGCAATAAGACGCGAGGCTGCAGGAGTGTATCATTGAAATGAGATTTTGTTCATGAGCGAAGGATGTTATTTTTTTTATTGACGGAATAAAAATTTTGTGGAAAAAATAACATATTTATTAATACTATTTAATTGTTATAAGGACAAAATAGGAGTTTCTTCTTTAACCTTTCTGTTTCTTCATAGCAGCTTGCATATGTCCACTCTAAGTTTCTACATGTTACATCAACAGTTTTTGAGAACAGGAGGAGACGTAGGCATCGAAGTGCTCTAGTCTATTCCAGCAGTCAACCTCAATGGTTGTGGAATGGTTCTCAAAAAATCGAATCGATACAATCCTGCTTCCTCTTTAGACAACGCGCGCGACTTTCTGCACTCCTACATGCACCGCGCTGACCCCCCTCACTCGTTACGTCACATCTGCAGACACATCACAACTCTTCTTGATCAAACATACCAGAGGCTGCACACCATCACTTCTTTTACGCACGTCTTACACACAACCCCCGCACCTGGACCCCTTCGGATGGATCCGCCACCCAACACATCGGAAGCCCACTTCTTGGTCCAGAACCCGCCTTGTTAACATACTTCACTTCACTGGTTATAATATCTCTACTTCCATATTTGTTTTCATGTTTTTATAATCTGATCAAGTTTACTTATTTATTTTTGTTTTAGGGTGCCACTGGTGATAATGGTAATATTTAAACATACTGAATAATTAGACCAAATATGTCCCATTACAACTTAGAGTTATTGTTGTTTTATCACGAAGGGTTTCCAAGTAAATAAAAAAATATAATAAAATTTTCTAAATCTTTGACACCCTGTTTCGCGGAAATGGTCTCTTACAAGGCTGTCAGTAATATCTGAGACATCCTGTATACAGTTACATGTCCTAAATATAAATTAATATTATCTAATTAATGCTCAATTTAAATTTTAATTCTCAAAATAACTAACTCCAAAATCGATCCGATTATAATAAAAATAATATTCTGTAAAATTTTTCTTATAAATATTTCCATTGAATTTAATCGAAGGATGAATCTTTTATGTTGTTTTAATACTGAGAAGGTATGGATCTTATTTACAAAATAATTTCAAAGACTGACTTGAATTGATTGACTTGTTAAATACATGCAGCTTCGAGATTTTCTCGGTATTATGTCCCTACTTGCTTCGAGTCGGGATTTCATCCTGGAAATAATTATTCCACGTTATTATCTTTCTTCAAAGGATTCTCCTCAGAGGATGGGGCTGCGAATGCCAACGTGACTTTTTTGTTTTTAGAGCAAAGCGTATCTTATTACATAAATATTATGCTGAGCCAGGAACGAAATTTATGTGTAAAAAGTGAATGAGCAGCGTCAACAAAGGCCCTAGAGGCAGTCCCTATAACGCTAATATTTGCCGAGTCATTTAGTATTACAGTAAGTTATAAATGGCTTACTGTTTTCACTTTGGTTCGGAATCTAGAGAAATTGATTTTACTGGTATCTAAGTATAAATAAAGGAGTATGCTATAAAGGTTGATAAAGGCTGTCCTTAAGTATCTTTCAGAGAAATTATTGTTAGTACTTTGACATATTTCCAACCCACAAAACCGCTTCTCGAAACTATTTGTTTATAAAGTCAAAATTTTTTGAACTTGCCCCATAAGTAGTTAAAAGGAAGAAAATAGACATTATAACAATTCTACAGGGTGCTCCGTAAGTAATGGTCCATAGAGACATACTAGATTTTTTACTTCAAAATATTACGATTGGAGCCAATATGCCTTAATAAAATGTTGATAGCAAAAAAGATACAGGGTGTCAAAGTTGGAAATTAAAAATTGAATTTTCGTAATAATTATAATATT